GGAAGTGAGGGAGGGAGGGGGGAAGTGAGAGAGGGAGGACGAATCGACATGGATGCGGGGTAAGGCGGGTTGGGAAGGGGACGGAAAGGAGATGGACAAGGAGGGAATGTGACGGCGGAGCAGAAAACGGAGAGGATTACCGGACAGGTTGAGACGGGAAGGTGAGCAACGCGGGTTTACGGACGGGAAGCAAAAGGCGGATGGGGTAAAAGACAGGTGTGGAGTGTGAGGGCACACCACCAAGCAAGGGCACCGATCGGCAAATGCCAACGCGCATCAGTTGAGTTCATGGGACGCGAGTGGCAAACCAAGGACGACACAGCGAAAGGCAGGGAGGGTTAATCAATTCGCCATTTTTCCTTTTCCACTTGCGCACCTGCAGCAGCAGCGTCACCGTGTCCTTCAGGTCAAAGATGTGCGGCGTGTTAAGGTTGTTGGTGTTGTAGACGTGGCACTGGGTGGCGGTCGCCACAATCAGGTAGCCATAGCCTGCGTGGTGAGGGTCCCGGACGGGTTGAGCGGGAGGGCCCCCCAGCCTCAGCAGCAGCAGCAGTGCCACGGACAATAATACACGGATATGGCCCACCAGCAGTGCCGCATATATATGAAAGGTTAGGGCGGGACGAACTAGCGGAACGGCAGCCAACGGAAAACGGAAACACTGCGTCGCACGCGCGGACTGTCTGTGCTTTATTAAGGCCGCAGGATGAGGACTAGGCTAGGTTGGATGCGCACGTCAGCAAATTTGTGGATGTGGCAAGAAGACAAGCGAATGTTGGAAAGACGCACCGCAAACCCCCACCGCATGCACTCACCCAGCGACACCTTGATGACCCTGTCCCTAAACTCGGGCAGCTCATCCGCATTCTCGTTAAGGATATCGTTAACCACGATGCGGTGCTCGTCAACAACCGTCACCTGCAGATTGGCGGAGAAGTGCTTAAGAAGCCTTGAGCGGACGAAGACGTTACGAGTTACGAGTTGCGAGAGTGGGATTGGAAGCCCGCACGCAAAATCATGGACTCGCTTTCCCGGGGCCAGCAATCATGGACACAGCGAACGTCTTGCACCCGTCGGCCCGCGCTTCTCGCATCACCGTTCGCCCCGAGACCACCACAGCGTTCCTGGCTACCCACGTCTTCAGCTCCCCTCAAGATCAGGCCTATACGTGTGTCAGAGCCTCATTTTAATCTAAACCCGCCCTGCTCATCCCCCACCTTTCCGAACCCCCCCTCACCCTCCCCACCTTTGCCAGGCCTCCCTACGGCTCTTGTCTGACCCCAGTCCTCCTATCCCATCTCCCTCCATCATTGGCTCTGCCAACCTCCATCATTCTCACCCGGCTCCGCCTTACCTTCCGGACCTGTTATTCTCCATACCTGAACCCGTCCCACGCCCGCCCACCCACCCACCCATGCACCAGCCCCGCCCACCTGCATCTTGCCATCCTCCAATGTCAGATCCACCACCTGGCCAAACACCACCGACCCGCTGCCCCCCGCCCCCGCCAGCTGAGTGCTGTCAGCAGTCCAGCTGAGGGACATGATGGACCCCGCGTCCTTCAGATGCACCTGAGGAGTTGCTTGCACATGGGGGACAGAGCGGCGGGCGGGCGGGCGGGGAAATGAGCATGATGGAAATACATGTTGCATCGCGGATCAGTTGAGGGGGGTTAAGGTAGCACGGCATGGCCCGGAACAGCAATTCATAAAATAAAAATCCAGGACTGGACGTGTAATTACAACCACAATGACTTATAAGGGCAGGACAGAGTGACGTTTAGGCGACAGGTGGGGGGAGGTACAGGACGCGTGGCAGCACAATGGGCAGGCGAGCAATGGACATGGTCGCGCAAGGTGGAGCGCGGGCACCGGTACCACGCGCGGCGCGGCGGGAATGTGTCCGGCCCTTTCGTTGTCCTCTTTCATCCTCTGCAGTTGGCCCCAAAACTCCACTGACCATTCTTTCACGCCTTTCCCCTACCGCATTCCAAAAGGTGCCTGCCGACCCAACACGCGCATGCGCCGTACTCGCCATCCTGACCATCAGCATGCCTGCCCTTACTTTGACACCGCCCTTTCGTGACACCGCCCGCCACCTGACTCCTCGTGACACCGCCGCCCCGGCCTTATCCCACCTTAGGCACCTTACACCTTAGGTCCCCTTCAGGACCGCCATGGGCCCTGAAGAGCACCCGATAAGTCACAGATGTTTAGTCCCCAAGCCACTCACCCCCAGCCCAACCCAAGGTGGAGGAATTACTCCACCGACCTCCTCCCCAGCAGTCATACCCCAGTACAGTGATGCCGCATCCGCAAGCTCGCACAAGCACACAACGACTTCGCATGAGGTAAGGGAAGTGGGCACAGTCCAAACCCCCCACCCGAACTGGGCCCCCGGAGTTTATCGTCCCCACCCGCGGGTGCTTCTACCTATGCTCTTCTTGAACCCGCGGATATCCAGGGGCAACTGGAAACGATGCCACTGGATTTGTCGTGCGGCTTTGTCGTGATGATCCAGGCAACTGGATGCCACTGGATTTGTCGTGCGGCTTCCAGCCCTGCTGCACCCCCTGCATTGCTTTGCCACCCACTCAGGTGGTTGTATGCCTCGGGCTGCATACCCCGGCTCCCACCCACGCACTCTATGTTACCTTGGAATACGCCCAACCCATGCGGTCACACAGCTGCAGGCTGTTGAAGGAGCCCACTGCGAACTGCTCTCCGCTGGGGCTCCAAGACACGGAGGTGACCGGGTAGTCAAAGATGCCGCTCTGGTACAGCAGCCGCCCGAAGCTGTCCCAGACCTACGGCAGGCGAGATAGACAGGACGACGATGTCGGACAGACAAACCCAGAAGCATTTTGACTATGATTAGGCAACCATTTGGGTTTCAGTGGGGTTCAGTGGGGTTCAGCACCGAAATCCTTGTTTGGGACAAGAACAAAAAAATCTTGGAAAACATTGCTGGAAAACGTGCCCCTGGGCCCCGTAATACGTGTTGCGCCACAGGATCCTTTTGTCGCATGTGTTGATAAATTGGGGATTTGTTAATAAGGTAGGGATTAAAACCCATTTCACCGGGCCTGAGCAGGCGTCGAAAACGGCATTAGGCGCCGCCCTACCTTGTACTTGCAGTCCTCTCCGCCCGACACAATCAGGTGGTTAATGGGACTCCAGTCAACTTTAAGGACGACCCCGTCGTGGGCCTTCCAGGCGTTCTGCTTGGCGTTGGATGTGAGGGACTTGATGACCACGTTCGATCCCGTGCAATAACACAGCTGGTCGCAGTCGTATGCCCAAACGATGGAGTACACGGGGCTGTCTGCCTGGGCTAGCGTTGACCGGAGCATTCCGTTGCGGGACCATATCTTGACGGACCCGTCCTCACCAGCGGTCGCCAATGCAGTCCCTGCACGCCAGTTGATTCGGGCAATCATGCGCCTTACCGCGCATGCATCGTGAGCGCCCCAGGTGCCCGAACGCTCATGGCGCCTTACCGTCAAAGCTCCAACGCAGCGAGATGCACGCACCCCGGTGCGCTTCAATTGACTTCTCCACACGCCCTGTACGACTTATAATCTTCACTGATCCTGTTTAATGATGGAATCTGGTTAGTGCTTCCGAGGTGCACAGTCGCAGCGGGATGCAAGCCACTCACCATCTGTGCAAGCCACTGCAAAGACATCGGTCCCTCCGGCCTGGGTCTTTTTCGAACTTAGTGGGTACCAATGTATGTCCGTGTAGTAAGCATCCAGTTGGCAAACCTATGTATACATTACAGGAAGGCGCTTGGAACCCACGGACATGCGCTGAACATGACCGGGGCGCGGGCAAAGCTTGCCTTCTGCTCCGGCTCTCCAAGCATGTTCCATTTATGTATGTTCTGATCATCGCTGCAGCTGTACAGCTCGTTCCATACGTTCCATCCTACTGCGCCGGTCAGCTCGGAGTGGACCTGAGCCGACCCCTGCTTAACCTTCAGCCTCATTTGTCCGGTGCACTTTTACAGCTTCATCTATCTTTCGTAACTGCCTACTTGCACAGGCGCGGCCTCAAAAGCCAAGGCTCAACGTTCGTCCAACTCGAATTTGCAAAAAAATACCTTTTGTCAATATTAGCAGTATGCGCGCCTGGTGTAGGAACGGTGGATGAGCCTGGGCCTCTCCCCATTTTCCAACGTTCATGTTGTACACGTGTACGTGATTGCGCGCAAAGAGTCTTTGCCAAAGACTGCCCCATGCCTGCAGATCATTTCCCCGTATGGTTGATGGTGCGTCACATTCCTTAACTATGAATATTTCTCAAGCAAAGATGTTCAACTTGCTCGGTTCCGAGCTTTTTTTAGGGTAGGAGCAAACCTGTCGTTGCTTAAGTTGGAGCACGGGTGCATGGAATTGAAACGACCTCATTGCGACGCAAAGGCGCAGCATCAGAAGAACTATGTACCAGCGCTGGTTAGCCATCGTGCTGGTAGGAACAGACGGTCAAGTTTCTGCTGAAACCATTTTGCGCCCCGTACCGATTACCCGCTGCCGGGTCGAACTTTACTATTTGCGAACTTTCTCCGTACCCGATTTGGAACCCTATCCCTCGTGACAACAGGTTGCAGCGTTTGTCTCCTGGCATGGAGCTCGCGCACTCAGCGAGGGTACTCATAGCTGGCAGCACGCCCACGTGCACAGCAAGGAGCGAACTTTTCCCCTGACGGAGCATGCCCCGCTTGCCTTGCGATGCGCCAACACTAATGGAGACTGGTGCAGCAAGTTCCTTAGCCAAGAGGTCGGAACTTCTCAAACATACGCCTACCCCGTGGGAGGGAAAAAGGGGGGGAAGAAAGGACACCGTGGATTTAAACGAAAGCCCGACGTGAACAGACAGGAGTTCCCCTACCGCCCCGAGGGTTCAGGGAATAGAAGTGGGTGTTGTGTATAACACACCATGCCAGAACTTCACAGCCAGGAGTTCTAAATTGCATTATTGCAGTCTTCTCCGTAACCTCTTTGGATATGAGTGGCCGTGCATATGGTCATCCAGATATTTACGTATGTGCCATGTATGGCATCATGACACGGCACTTCGCTTAGGGGCTGCACGATACGTAACTCGCAGCACCTGACGCAACCCAAGTCGCACGACGGACGCCGCTGCAGGTGGCGCAAAGGCCTTTGGGAATGGCAGGAAGGAAACACGGCGTGCAGCAATTTATCCTGCGCCTCTGGTACAGCATGAGTATACATGCATGAGTACACATACACACACATATTGTGGATAAACCATCATTGATCGATCAACATCGCATTGCTATCCGGAACGTGCGTCTGGTGCAGTGAAGCACACAGCATGTGCAGCCATGACTCCACACCAAATCAACCACCTGCCCTTGTCCACGCGGCCGGTGATCGTTTTGGCGTACGCAGCCGGTCCCTTGGAAGCCCGCGCCTCGTGGCAGCAAGGACTGTCCAGACAAGTGCAACGGCGTGGGCAGGTGCAACTACGACACCGGCTACTGCGACTGCCCCGCGGGGTGGACGGGCCCGGGTTGCAAAACGGTACAGAAGCGCCCCTGCACGCATAGACTCAGGCAAGTTCGTGACTCCCTTGCTTCCCCCCTCGCCTGTGCGGTCCTGATCCGCACCCTCGGCCGCTGTGCTCCATGTCTAGTTTTCAGGCTGTGTATGTGTTATTTGGCCGAGGGGAATCAGGCACTAGTAAGCACCCAAGCCTGCAAACCTATATCCGATGCAAGCAACGAGACGAGCTTCGAGAGCTCCTTACTGCTTTCCCAATAGCCACTTAGTAGAGAATTAACACAAAGGATGGTAAAAGAAGGAAAAAGGAAAGGAAACAAAAACACAACTACTCGGGAGAGGAAGCTCTGGAGGATCGTATGTTCATGCGCTTCCGGCTGCTCCCCTTGTCCCCTTGAGCACCTGTGTTTCACCTACCCCCCGCTCCTCACGTTTCCATTTGCGAATGACCTCCTTCCTTTTCTATATCAACTTCGCTTTTTTTAAATCAAACCAGTGCGCTTGCCCCTCGCATTGATGCTTGCGTCCTGCGAGGCCTTTCTGGGCCTAGACGTCGTGGCATGGACCCTCACCACGATTCCGTTAGGAACCATTTCATGGATCGCACCCCGCCGACATCGAAACACACAGCACGGCACGAATAGATCAAGAACGCCAACTGTGCATTAACTACAGGAGGGGTAACACCGCTCCCATGAAAACACACCACAGCATGCGTTACGATCTGCACGGGAATGTGTGATTTGAAAAGCCACGTTTTGCCCGCGCTCAGGGACCACGAGGATCCCGGTACGGAGCCCCTATCGCACATAGGGCCCGACAAGCGAGACCTAGACTGGACGGAGGGGGGGGTAACCTACTCGCGATGCGCAGGTAGGGGTGGGGGTTGCACATGTGTGGGCGATGCGGCCAGGGGCATGCAGGTCTCAGCCAGGGGTTGTCCATTCTGGGATGGCTGTGGTGAGACGTGTCACGTGTTGAGGGGTGAGATCATGCTCTTGTTCTCTTACTCACAGCGTATGGGGAAGGATACTTCCCACCGGGGAAGACGCGACGGCGTCCAGCGGGTTTAGCGCCGTGTCGACGCGTCATTGTTTTATTACAGCACAAGCGAACAATTTTACAAAATGGGTTATCGGGAGCTTGTTAAGGCAGTGCGGTTGGATAATTTAGATCTGCACTGGCTACCTGCAAACAGGGTTGTGTCGAGCATTATGATCGACACAATAACGTTTTTTTATCTCTGTCACATTGCTACTGTACGTTGCTACTATATGGGGTAAGCATGTTGCTACTGCCAAATTATTGTTGCTGCCGAATGCGCTGCTGCTACTGCTGGACTGCTGCTTCATCAGGCATCTGCGATGACGACACGGCAATCTGCTACTGCGACGGCCCCCTGGGTCGGTTGCTGCCGCCGCCGGGGTCGGCTCCGGGCACACCCCCAATCCGACGCGGACGGCCCCTCGTGACATTCCACATGGCGCCATCCACGGTGAGAGCTCGCAGACAGCGGGGAAGGGCAGGGAGCGCGACGCCTGCAGGGGGGGGCTGCTCTGGGCTGGGTCGATGTTGTGCGAGTTTTGCATTGCCATCGCATTACCACCACCATCAGCAGCAGCAGCAGCAGCAGCAAAAGCAGCAGCGTTATGCAAGGGACTTGAAGCGTAACGCCGTCCCACGGGCTTACATGTGTAATGTGTGCACTGCAGTTATCACCTCTTCCATGAACACGATTAAATCACCTCCAACAGCAGCTGCAGCACGAGATCAGCTGGAAAACAATGTTCTGCCGCCCAACGACCCAAAGATGACGTTTCCTTCTGGGGAAGAAGCAGCTGAAATAATGACGCCCGGGCCCTACCTGACCCCTCTGACCTGCGCCATACCTTTAATGGTGGGAACCGCTGCCGCCACCGCTGCCGCCGCCGCCGCAGACCTGGGACGGGCGTAAGGCCTTCGGGGAGCAGCCCTACAACAATGTGTACGGCCCCCAGGGCTATTGCAACGCCACCCAGCCCATCTGGACACCCGTCTGTAGTCTCGACGACCTGGGGGGACCCACGTGCGATGACCCCATCCAAGCCTTCTGTCCGGGGGCCTGTAGCGGCCACGGCACGTGCAACCTTGGGTTTTGCGTGTAAGTTTGGTGAATGGGAGGACGACGAGGGAGGGCTCCTGTTTGGGGCGCCCTCACCCACCCACCCAGCCCCGCCCGGCCCTGCTTTTGACGTTCGCACGAGTCCTTTTGAGTCTTCTGTTGAGCATCCCTTTCCGGAACCCTCACCCCACCCCGCCTGCATATGAATGAATGACTCCATGTCACTCTCCATGTCACCCCATGTCACCCCATGTCACCCCATGTCACCCCATGTCACCCCCATGTCACTCCCGCCGGTACCCACCAGCTGCGATGAGGGCTACTACGGTCACGACTGTGCTCGGAGAAGGGCGGGACTGCCGCTGCTGCCCAGCGCCGTCCCAACCACCCCCTGGCTGGCGTCCGTCATCCGCGAGCCCCCCGCCGCCATGGAGCCGCCGCCGCATGCCACCCGCAAGCGCCCCCTGATCTACGTGTACGACTTGGAACCGCTGTACCAAAGCAAGATCCTGCAGTACAGGTACGGCACAAGTTGCGGTGTATGTCGGTCCCACTGAACCGTGGTCAAGTCGCGCATACATTCGACCATCAGCATTTACCCTGGGTAATATATACATATATACATACATACATATGTATATGTATGTATATATATGTATATACACATGTATATTGTATTTACCTATATATTCATCAGCGCTTGGCTTCCTCTGATGAAGAAGGTGAGCCCTGCTGCCCGTGTGTAAAAGCCAAGGCGCTTTTAGGACAGGGAAGATGGGCAGGTCCAAAGGAAGGGCGGCGCAGTGGTGGTATTGCAAGGGGAAAAATGTCTCGCGACGTCATCGCGAAAACGAAATCGCATTTTCATTTTCTTCCCACGTCGCCGGCCCGCTTCTTTTGCCGGCTGCAGCCCGCATCGTGTCTTCGTGGCTGAATCCCTAAAAACACCCTTTCCCTGGGTTGCTGCGCGCGAAATGGCGCAATGATTCGCCCCCACAAATCGGCAGGATATCCCCGCCTTGGTGTGTTCACCGGCGTCACGACCTGCCCGGCAACCAGACGGTGTGGTCGGACGGCTGGGTGTACGCGGCTGACACCTTGCTACATGAGCTGCTGCTCATCAGCGAGCACCGGACGTTCGACCCGGAGGAGGTGAGGTGATTGCGCGGGGAGGTAACGGGGATTGCGCCCGCGTGGTATCTCAGGTTAGCTCAGGCATTATATTATTATTTCGCACCTCTGGAAGGGTAATGGTGGAAAAGGAGGAGTAACCTGACGAATTGCTGACGGTTGAAGCAGTTGCCAGAGGGGGCATAGAAAGGAGGGGGCTTAGGGGGTTGTTATGTTGAAGTTATGCATGCAATAGAACTCTGGGAGCGGGTAGAGAGGAGCGGTCCCCAATAGCGCTTAATTACCTTCGGGGCGGGAGCCCTTTTTTGCGGAGCCATGTTGACGCTTCTAGAGAAGTTGATTTCCGACATCTCCTTTAACATCGACAAGGATATGACCTCCCATTGTCCTGATCTACTTGCCGACCACCCGCGCCTTCCATTTCCTCGTTTTTGAGGCTTCGCTCGGATTGTTTGTTGATGATGATTCTTTTGTTTGTGCTCTGTTTGCGCTTTTTTTATTTTCGACCACAGGCGGACTTTTTCTACGTGCCGCACTCGGCGTCGTGTCTGCCGTTTCCTATGGGTACGTGGCGCACTGCGCATCCTTCTGTGCTAGGGGCTAGGGAAGGGCGGCGCCAAGTTTTTGCTGACACCGAGCTAACGTACGGCAGGGGGCCCTACAGGAAACACCGCAGGCCAAGAGCTTTAGGAGGAATGCTCCGCGGTTTGCTGACAAACTGTTATGATGATGTGTTTGTGTGCGCTGCATGCGCGCTTTCCGTTGTGGTGGTGTTGCAGGCAGCTGGGCAGACTATCCCTGGTTCCTGGGCCCTGGAGGTAAGGGGTGTGTGTTTGTGTGTGTCTGTATGTGTGTGTGTCTCTATGTGTATGTGTTAAGAGTGTAAGGATAAGCGATAGAAGCGAGAGGTTTCGGGAGGGGTGTGTTTTGAGGGGGGGGGGAAAAGGCAGAGGGGGAAGCGAGAGCGGGTGGGGAGCTGGGACGGCGCTGCCTTGCCTTACAACCCACGATGTCGTCTGGCCTGGCGCCTCTTCCGCCCCACGTCCACGTCTACGTCCCACACGCCTCACGGTTCACAGGTTCCATGAAAGTCTCGACTTGTGTAAAATCACTTTGCGTAAAATCACTTTGCGTAAAATCACATCACCACGTGGAGCGACCTGAAGAATGATCAAGTCCGTCTCCAAACGGCAAACGGCCGCTAACCGCCATCCGCACCACTCCCCTCTCCCTCCTCCCCCTCCTAACCTCCCCCTCCCCCTCGGTTCCGCTGTCCCAGGTCCCCGCATTCGGCAAATGGTCAACATGCTACGCGAAGTCGTAGACTGGATCGACAAGACCTACCCTTTCTGGCGGCGGCGAGGCGGTCGCGACCACATCTGGTTGTTCACCCACGATGAGGGCGCCTGCTGGGCGCCCAAGGTGCTCGAGAACTCCACCTGGCTCACCCACTGGGGTCGAATGGGGCTCGAACATAGGTAAGTGCGTACGGCATGGGGGGTTTATGGTGGTTGTGGTGGTTGTAGTGGAAGCTCTGGGGGCAGGGAGCCCTCGGCGGGTTATACGTGACACGGAGCACTTCGGCACGTGGGCATGGCAGTAGTGTACTCAGTACACTCAGTACCACTGGGCGTTGAGCACAGACCCGGAGCTCGCAAGGGGGTGGCACCCCATGTTTAATTTGGGTGAACACGCACACATCGTATGTGGGATGTGCGCGAAAAGGAGGCAGGCGAAAAAACAGGGACGATAGACAGGGCAAGACAGGGCTCGATGTGGGGCTCGGTGTGTTGGCAGGGGGCTGCGGGTTGGGGCTGTGTGGCGAAAGGAAGGCGGCGAATGGGGAGTTTGACAGCAAGGGGCATTCCAGGAAGTCATTCCTGTTCTTTTTCCTGGAAAAGAGGAAGGGCCCCATGCCGCCGCAATACCCTTCACCCTTGTACTTGCGTCTTCAGCTAGAGAGCAATATCTTCAGAACAATCTCTGAAAAGCGATATTTTGATGTCATTCTCTTCACCCTCAATTCACCTGCGAACCGGACACTTCATCTGTACCCAAGCACTATTCCCCCCGTCCTCCTCCGCTTTTTGTGGTTGTGAAGCGCAGGAGCGGTACGGCTTTCCTGGCTGACAAGTACGACATCGACTTCGTTAGCCCGCACCAGCCGGAGGGCTTCCTGACGCACATCAAGGGGCACCCCTGCTACGACTCCACCAAGGTGGGTGACTGGCCCACTCCGTAGTACCTCGCTCCACCACCTGGACTGTGCCTGACCTAAACCTGAACCCTGACCCGGGAGCTTACCCCCGGACTAAAACCCAGTTTCACCCCATCCCACCCCACCCCACCCCACTGGCACCGGTCGCCTGAGGCCTGACTGCGAGGCCACCACCGCTCCCCCGACGTCCTCAACCCGCGGGTGTCCTCTCACAGCACCTACCTACCTACCTCACACCACGCAAGCCCGCCGCTGCGGGAGCACCGGACTGAGCGTCTGTCTCACCGCGTCTGTCTCACCTTTGTGCCTGTTTGTTTGTTCGTTTGTTTATTTGTTTATTTTATTTAGTTGTTTGTTTATTTGTTTGTTTAGCTGTTTGCTTGACGGACGGACGGACGGACGGACGGACGGGGTCCTCGCGCCTGCTCCCCGACCTGCACCCGCAGGACCTTGTCGTCCCCGCGTTCAAGCAGCCCAGGCACTACCGCAGCAGCCCGCTGCTGGGCAGTGCAACAAAGCAGCGAGGTGAGGGGTCTGCCCCGGCCTTGGCGCTGGCTGGCATGATGTGTAAGATATGTATATTCTTCTTTGCTTAAAAACAAAAAACAGACCCTAAGGTCTCTGCGGGGGGAAGGGTGTCCACGAGAGATCGGCAGCATCAGGACCTAGCGGCGCAGCGGAGGGAGAGGGTCTCTGCAGGGTAGGGAGGGAAGATACTGGTTGTGGGTGTGGTGTGTGGGACTGTTCGGGTGGTCTGCATTGCGCCCCGCAGTCACGGACTCTGCACCCGCATTGTTGTTTCGGCTTGCGGCCCCAAGCTCAGATGTGGGCATCTGTGGGGATGCAACGCTGTGTATGTTACGTTGTTGGTGATATTTAGCTGTCTGCATAGCAGCAGCGTGAAAGGTCGCGATTCTGGACCAGAACCCTGTACAAAAGCTGTGGACGTTCCAACCGCGCTTGTTTTGAGTGCCTTGACGGATTGGTAGGGATGACACCCCTTGGGTTTGTCAAGTAGGTAGACCCCTCCATTTTTTTGTGCGGTCACCACCATGGGCAGTGTCCGCTGCCACATTGCTTTTCTTCACTTCGTAGTTTGATAGCTTGTTGGTGCTGCTGCCTGTGCAGACATCTTTCTCTTCTTCCGCGGGGATGTGGGCAAGCACCGCATGGCTCACTACAGCCGAGGTGTGAGGCAAAAGGTGGGAGGAGTGATCGCCCCGTGATAAGGAACTGTTGGCCACCCGATCAGGAGCGCGCGCCTTTTTTCCTGAAAAATGAATGCTGAGTGTCTTGAACGTCTGGGAAATGCTGTTTGGTTTTTGCTTTTCACTTCCGGACGTCTCCTCGCCTCCGGCGACGATGACGTAGATATGTAGATGGGAGACGGTTTTCCCTAATTTCATCACAGTTCCCAGTTCTCCATCGCCACGGGAACATCGGCATTTGTTTTCCGTGACTTTGCTGCATTTGCATGTATGCTATTGCCCCGCTATATTGCTCCCCACTCAAACGATCTTCGATACCTCCCATTTCCCTTCGTGTAGCTGTACAAGTTGTCCGTTGAGAATAACTGGAAGTCCAAGAACGTCCTGATCGGTGGGACCCACGAGGTTCGCGGGGAATACTCGGACCTGCTGTCCCGGTCTCAGTTCTGTCTGGTAGCGGCAGGTGGGGGAGGGGGAGGGGGGAGCGGGAGGGGACGGGAGGGAGGGGGGGGGCGGGAGGGGGGGAGGGGGACGGGAGGGAGGAGGGGAAGAGCCGGATGGAGCAGCGGGTAGGGAGGAGGGATTTGGGGGGGGGGGAAATAGAGAAGGCGGTTCTGAGAGAGAGATTGCGGGTTGGCATGTTTGCCGGCGTGCGTGTTTTTTTGTATGCCAAAGTACCATTCGGGGTGAAGGTACGCGAATACCCATCAGGGGGTTCTTGAGGTGGAGTTTATTTTGGTGATTGAGCCTCGGGCAGGGAGGAACTGGAGGACACTGTTCTCGTCATCCTCGTGTTCGTGGGTTTATGATGTATGCATGTATGTATGTACGTGTATGCTTGCCTGCTCCCTCGTCCCTTCTCCTGTTCAGCCTTATTCTCTTCCCCGCCATTCTCTTCGCGTTAGTGCCCCAAGGGCGCCAGCAGTCCTTCCTTTTTGAACTATGGCCCCTTTTGTGGCTGTGTCCCCTCCCCCTCCCACACCTCCCCTCCCACACCTCCCCTCCCCGCGTCCTTCCGCCCACTGCCCGCAACGTCCCTTCCCCTCCCTGGCGCGGTCCCCTATCCCACCCCGTGTGTGTGTATGTGCGTGTGCGTGTGTCTTTCTCTCTCTCTCTCTCGCGCGTTCTCAGGTGATGGCTGGTCAGCCAGGTTGGAAGATGCCGTACTGCACGGCTGCATTCCAGTCATCGTCATCGACGAAGTGCATGTAAGAAGGGGCGCGGGCGGCCGGGTTGGGGAGGGCTGCCGCCGGTTTCCTCTCCTCGTGCAGAAGCCGGTGCTAAGGAATTTTCCATCTGCTAAAAGAGTAGTTGCAGGGCGGCGGGGATCCCCGGGGAGGAGGAAGGGGTTGGAAAGGGTTTTGAAAATGACCCGGCAGCCGTGGCGTTGGTGAACTTCGGTTTTTGGAGGAACGTAGGAAGAAGGAGAAGCCGGTACTCGCCCTTACAGTCCCTCCCCACACATGCCCATACCCACTCTCTCTCTCTCACGCCACTCTCTCGACCTCACCATCCCTGCCATGGTGCTATAATACATGCATACATACATACATACAGGTGGTGTTCGAGTCCATATTAAATGTGGACTCCTTCGCCGTGCGTATCGACGAGCAGCAGCTGCCACAGATCCTGGACATCCTGGCCGCCATTCCGGAGCGGAAGATACGAGCCAAACAGGCGCACCTGGGGCATGTGTGGCACAGGTGAGAGAGAGGAAGAAAAAGAGTGTATGTATGTGTATGTGTATGTGTGTGTGAAGGTTACAAGTATCTGACCGGGCCTGGCACTGGCCAGGGGCGCTGTGTCCCAGCTCTTTTCGTGAGGGGAAAGGGAGGTGGTTTCTGTCCAGAGAAGAGGGGACAAGTTAATCCCTAACTACCTGTGTGGATGGCATTGAGGAAGGGCCGGAAAGCTGGGGTGAAGGAAGGGGAGGAGAAAATGAAGCGAACAGCCTCTGTTATGTATGTGCGTGGGCTCGCAACCTCTCACCCAGGAGCCGGATGGGGAGTGTGTTCAACCCTTTCCGCACCCCCGGCTGTTCGTCGCGGTCCTTGTGGCACTTTCCCACTTTCCCACTTTCCCACTGCCGCACGAGCTCCATTCCCACTTCCTCGTCCTCCGGTCTTGGGAACCCCCTTTCATGTCCTCTCCCTCGCGCCCCTCTTTGGCCCGCCTTGCCTCCTGTCCCTGTCACCATGCTCTCTCTCTCTCACACACACACACACATATACATACACACATACAACACGTTACATGTCTTCCGCTCCTCTCCTCCCTTCTCCCCTCCTCCCCTCTCCCCTTGCCACCCCTCCCTCGCGTGTGCTCCCCCACGTCCGTCCCCACCAGATTCCGGTACGGCTCCCTTCCAGGCCTTGCGTCGGAGATCCAGAGCCTCACAGAGGCCAACAGGGCACATCAACATCAACAAGAACTAGACATTGGTCAGGATCAGCATGCGCAGGGGCGGCGGCTGGTTGCCAACGACCGTCATGCCCTCAACACACCTCACGAAGGGGGGGGGGACCCGGAGTTTGGGCGAGGTGCAGGTCATGGCGAGGCGGCGGACGTGCAGTACCCTCGGCCCTTTCGCGGCGACCCTGCTGTGGATGACGCCTTCGCCACCATCATGCAGTGGCTGTACTCCAGAATACCGCACACCAGGTAGCGCAGTATCCATGTATGTATGTAAGTATGTATGTAAGTATGTATGGGGGTGTGTACGTATGTATGCATGTATGTGGATGTATGTGAATGTTACATCGCGCTATCTGACCGGTCTTGGCACTGGGTGTGCGTGGGTGTGAGGGTGGACTTGGACGTGGAGACGTGTGTGTGTATGTGTGTGTGTTTGTGTGGTGAACGGATGTGTTTGGGGGTGCCAGGGGGGTTAAGCATACTTGGTGAACTGGTGATGCGCATGTCAAGGATATAGCGATGATGAGGATTTACGGGGCGGTGTGTGGCACATCTAGGATCGATAGCAGCAGTAGGGTAGAGGAGCCAGTTAGGTACAGCAGTGGGGGAACGAGGTGGGGATGGGGGGTGTAGAGGCGGCAGGTGGTGGCGGTGGGTTGGGGCCGCAGTGTGTGGGGGGGTTAGCCCCCCCAGCACCCCTTTCCCCCCACTTGGGAAGTCCCGTCCCGTAACTGCTTTGTAATGACCTTGCGATCTTGCTACCGTCGTTGTGTCCCAAACGGCGACATGGCGGCCGGAAGAGAAGAGATCTTTTTTTGGTGGGGTAGTGAGGTGTACGGTGTGCGAGTAGCGTGCATTCTAGTATCCATTCCTTTTCTCTCTCTCTCTCTCTGTGTGTGTGGGTGTGGTTATGGGCGGGATGGGTATCAAATTGCAGCACGGGGGGGGAGACGTCAGAATGGCCAAAACACTGCTGAGACGTTTGTGTTGCACTCGCAGGGACGGCTGCAGTGACCTAAACCACATTGCTAAATCGTCTGTTTCTATGTGTGCTTGGTGCCTTTAGCTCCATTAGGCAACGTCGACACAAGGCCACATGCCGCATGTTTCAATGATTTTTATCATCAATGCATAAAATGGGCGGGAGTCCTTACATTTTGCGTTGCACAGCATTAATGCATTAAGATGTAGGGCCCTTGCCGTACAGCGGGCCGTACATGGAGCACATGTACGGTGCTTTGGGGCCCCCTTTGCATAGAAGAGCATATGTGCTAGGTCGGGTCGCAACATCGGGTCCTACTCGCATCAGGCCCACATCTAACTCGCATTTGAAAATGGGACCATTGCCACCACCACCACGCGCGGGACTAGCTGGTGTAACAAACTCCTCGGGTTGGCTTAAGGGGCGGTGTAGCGCTGTGTGTGTTTTGTGTGGTGGATTTCATGGTCGAGGCCTTGATGTTTGCGCCGGGTGTGTGTGTATGTGTGTATGTTCGCGTACGTTTTATACGTTTACATCGGACGGTGGGTGTCTGTGCAGCTTCATGTCGCCCTTCATGCACCACACGAGATGTCTTTCTTCTTTCTTACCATTACAGATCGCAACCCATATCTCTCTCTCTCTCACCGCGCCTTGAGGATCCCAAGGGGGATGGGACAGTAAGTGAGAGAAGGAAATAATTATATAGCCGGGTGGGGCGATTTTTAGCGCACGGGTGTGATATTGGTCGATTCGCGTGATGGTCCATATAGACCTCTCGGTTGCGATCTGTCTGGGCATTTGAGCATTAGTGGTGTTCGGGAGTAATGACCGTGAGCAGCAGTAGCATTTAATTCGGACACTTCTTGGTCAGGTACGGGTGGTATTTCATTGAACCCATAGCCTGCCCTTGGGTGGAGCTGTGGAATCCGGAACAGCTTGTTGTCCGCACTCTTCTGTCTTTCTGTATGGAACTGTAAAATGCGCGGTGTGGTTGCTTATTAGGAGTAGGCCCATCAAATCGAACAAATGGCAGCAATCCCTGGTGGGCGAAACCTAACTCAAGTTCGTTTGCGGGATGAGGGGTGCACAGAAGACGGCGGATGGGGTCGATTTCGACGATGGGGACCTGTGAGTATGTTGCTGTTTATGTTGCACTCCAGAAGGTGGCCTGACAGTTCCCTTTCCTTACTTTACACACAGCAGAAGTTAGCCCTTTGGCTCTCAGCCCCATTTGCGCCTTTTGTTGCCGGATAGCGCTCTCGAAGTCGACGACGCAGCGCCGCCCCCATAAGCGCATCCGAGTAAACGAATGCACATAGCTTCATTTAAGTATCGGAGCGTCGCCGGTGCATTCCGGTGTCCATACCTCAAACCGGGACGAATTGTGACCAAGGGCGCAGATACACTTCCGCCGGAGGAGAGCGGCGCTCTCCTTCTTGCACTGCATTCCTCGACAACATAGCCGCAGCCTCCCGGGCACGTGAACGCCCCTTCCCACCATCCCATAGAACATCCCAAATAGAACTTCCCAACCTTTGGGCCAGCTTGGGTAGCCGGTGTGTGTATGTGACATGTTTTGCGACACGGCATTTGCAGGTTAGCTGTGTAAATGTGTGCATGTCTCCCCCTTGAGGTCTCAGGTCGTTTGGGGCGCATTTGCAGGACGCGGTTCGTGTACGCGGCGGGCATTTGAGGGCCCCTTTTTTCATCCCAACTCTCCGGGACTTTGCCGCTTCAGTCTCTGTTGCATGGTTGGCTTATTTATCGTTTGCGTCGTTTTGGATATCTCGAGGAAGGTATATGTACGTATGTATGTATGTGTGTGTGAGGAAAAAAAGGTAAGAGGGGGGGGGGAGAGAGAGAGAGAAAAGAGAGAATACACCAGAAGTATCCCTTGACCTCGATGTGCATGTGGCTGCAGGTGAATGCATCTGCTTATAGAATATAGATATAGAACATAGATGTAGAAAGCATGCGCGCGTGTGTGTCGTACAAGGGAGTTGTGCGTTGTTGAGAGGGCCCAACCCTGCATAAATGCTGCAGTACTAACGTAGCCTTGCGAAACATCCTGGGCTGCATGCCATCGTATCTGGGGTTAAAATGGGCCCACGGGGTGTCCAGGACCTACATTGGATGCCATGGAGGGTAGGGCGCCATCATTACCTCGCAGGGTGCCGCGTCGGTAGCATGAATGAGTGCATGCTTGAGCAGACGTTGGGTCACCTAGAGTGTTCAATTTGGATATGGTAAATTCGCATATCCCACAGTTTGATGGTCTGATGCAATTCCAAAGAAAATGATCATTCCTCCAATTTCTCCACATACTGCGAGGAAGCCATGTCGGACCGCGCCTCACATGAAAACAAGCAAAACCGCCAGGGCCGCTCTTCTGGCTTCTAGAGCCATGGCTGCTCCTTCAGGGTAATGGCAAAATGCAATATGATTGATCGAACGTCAGCTGCACCTAAAAGGAAAGCCGCACATGCTGTTGGCGACGTATTGCTCTTAGGGGCCAGCACGCTATCCTTCCTCTAGAAGTGCCAAGGGCTAATACGAGGAATAAGCCATGAAGTTTCATGAGCCTGAGGGTGACCTTTGCTGGCAATTGGGTTAACATCGTCACAGGTGTGGGCGCAAGCCACAAAACAGCATTAGCGCTTAACCTGAGACTAACAGAAAACAAGTTTTATGTCTGCATGTCCTAATGTCCTGCATGTAATTGGCGCATGCTAGTCTTTCTGAGAAATGCGAGGTCATTGCCTCTCCCTCCCAGGATATGGAGGACATGTACCCATTTCCGGCCCGTTGCGCTGAGTTCACACTTCAGCAACCCTGAGTTTTCAGCTCTATATTGGTGCTGGTTACATGCTCACCACCTCGGGCGGCGGTCAATCTTTTGTAACAACACGCCAGTCCGTTGCGGAGTTGGTTAGCGTCTTGGTCGGCTAATGTACATGAGGACGTACATGATACAAACGTGCCTGCCGGACGACCACACTGTATACAACATATGTCGAATGACGTAAATGTTATAGGCTGGCACTAAAGTTTGTACCAGGCACGATGACGCGTGGGCTTGGCCTTGGACCGCACATAGGATGGATAACTACAGTTACCTGAACACATATTTTATTTTAGTGAAGCGCAATCTTGCGTCGCAACGTAATTTTTATCTAGAATGTCCAACCATTTGAGCGTGCTCAACCTGCTTAGCGTCGCCTTTGTAAGATTTCCGTGGATTGAACGGCGCAATTGGACATGAACTTAACGAGGAAATTCACATGGGTGCAGGTGCCGTTGTTTCTCGTGAGCATCGGGGACACTGGCACGGCGTTCGGCCAACTTTCTCATGAGCGAAAGGTGCAGCTTACTGACGACGCCCCACTTAAGCTGCGGTGCTCCTCCATCAAGGGTAGCTGGTGCATGGACTTTCACCAGCAACAGGTGCGAGGTTCTTTAATAGCGACAGCTGGAGCAAGCCGGGGCACAAATCTTTGTGCGTCCTACAATCCCCATATTATTAATTCACTTAAGTGGGTAAAAATTCAACACAAAGCAACGAGTTGCCGTTGGACTTCCACCACCTCGCGCAGCCTGTCTGACTTTCCTGCTGCCTGTCAGATGGCTTCCATACCTTACCATACCCCACTCGATTTTCCTGGCCTTAAAAAATCTGGAAATTAGCTTAACAGGCGATCCTGTGACTGGCTGCATTTGCAACACCCAAAATCGCCTTGCACCCTGCCCAATGCACGTTGCCATGTGCGCTTCCACATACGCGAGTAGTGCCCTTCCACGTGGCCGGCAAGTCCCCGTGGCCCCCCGTTATAGATTTCACTCCAATCCTCAAGCCTTGTTTCATGAGACGGCTAATATGCGAGCAGTGACGATACTTGGGCCCCGATGGGTCTCCAAATGTATACGAGCACCCAACTTTTATCACAGGCGCCAGAATAGGGCGCAAGAGCAGGGGTGTGACCAAAGCCCAGGGCATTAGTAGAACGGAACGAACTTATAGACTCCCTCTAGACTCTCTACACTGCAACCTTCCCCCCCGGCTCGTCCCTTGTATGTATGTACGTATGCATGTACGTATGCATGCACGTATGTATGACGTTGATTACGCCGTGGGCTGAAAAGCCGGGGGCCCAGGGCCGAAACACAGCGCGAGGGGCGGATGCACACGGCCAGTTAGTCTCGTGCACACCGGCCCCGGGTCAGGCCGCACGGGAAACGACGGCCGGCACGCAACAGCGCTCCCCTCCGGGGGTCGGCGCTCCAGCTGGACGGGTACTGTGCCCGCTGGTCTTTTAACAAAAAACGGAGTCGCAACCGGGGGGCTCTTCCTGCGGACTGAAAGCACCGAATACCTCAGAAAGCTCGCACCCAGGACCTGGGCGACCGGGAGCCCGACGAGTCATCCCGGGCTGGGGAGGTCACCAAGCTCAAAAATCCTCACGCAAAAAAGAGCGCAAAGAGCTCACACCACAAGACGCCAAACAGCCTCCTGAGACTACTACCCTCCTCCGCCTCTCCCTCCCTGGGCTAGTCCAGGGGAGATAGCCCCCGTCGGGGGGGTAACACCGCACAAGTCCGCGCCCTTCCAACTCGAAAGGTAACGGGAAAAACCGTGCAGCGACGCCGGGCGATCAAGCTCCCGAAAACCAGGGGGGGGGAGGGTAGCCGGCTCGGCGGCCCCCCATTACCGCTCTACCAAGACGGCTGGTTTCCAAGACTCTATCCCACGTATACTTCGCAACACACGAAACCCGGTCTCGTACCCTGAAGAACCTAGTCCTGCACCACGCGCGCATCTTCGAGTACGGGCCCCCCTCCTGGGTGCCCACCTCCCCCTCATCCGCGCCCTCGCTACGGCCACCTGCGTCCTCTTACCACCCCTCAACCCTACATCCTCTTGGTGCTCTCTCTACCTCTTCCCCTCCCCTCCGGGGCTCTCTCCGCCCTTCCCCCAGCCTCCCCAGCCCTCTCGGCCCCTCGGCCTCTGTCTCCCCACTCCGCCGGCACGGCGCCCCCCCACACATAGACCTTCCCTCCCCAATTCCCCCCTTGCGCGACACCCCTCTAACCCCCATCCCTGCTTCCTCACCCCTCGCTATGTATGTATGTATTTATGTATGTATGTATGTATGTACTTCCGCAGCCGGTCCCTTGGAAGCCCGCGCCTCGTGGCAGCAAGGACTGTCCAGACAAGTGCAACGGCGTGGGCAGGTGCAACTACGACACCGGCTACTGCGACTGTCCCGCGGGGTGGACGGGGCAGGGGTGTACGACACGGCAAAAGAGGCCCTGTACCAACGCTTTTCGGTGAGCCGGTCGAGGTCTGGACCTTGGGGGCCCTTTCCTGGTGCTGTTGCTACTGCGGACGACGCTTCTAATGATAGGAGTGCTAGTGCTGCCGCCGTCGTGGAGGCGGCAGGAGGGAGGCACACCTATCTGCACGGCAACATCATGCTCCCAGATTCCAGAACAGTCCTGGAATCCTTCTTCCCGTGTTAGCCGTTTCCCAGGAGATTACTGCTACTGCTACTGCTATTGCTCGTATGTTGTCACTGCTAATAATGCCGACGATCCTGTTGCTGTTGTTATTGTCGTTATTAATGTTGGTGCTGCTGCTGCTGCCGCCGCTGCTCCGCTACTGCCGTAACGGGACCCGCATTTTCCCTCACTCCCCACCCCCCACACCTGGTGGTGAAACGACAACATGTACGTGCATATGTGTATGTATGTATGTATATCTGTGTATGTGACAAAATGCAATAACGTGATGACGTAACCCTTAGGACTCCGGAGGATCAGCGTACGGAGCCCGTATCTCACATAGGGCCCGACAAGCGGGACTTGAACTGGACAGAACTGGGCACGACGCCTTCCCGATGTTACGGTGAGCCTTCGCAGCCCTCACCTCTCCCTCGTTCGTCTGTCCGTTCGTCTGTATGTCCGCCCGGCACGCGGTCGTCGGGCCCTATGTGCCGGACGGCGTGAGTCGTGCGGTTCACTGGTTGGGGGCCCGAAAGCTTTCGGAGGAGGGAGGAGGGCGGAGGTGTATCAGCGGACATATGTCGTTGTAGAGCCACACAGGCGAGAGGAAGCTCTGGAAAGCTTCCTCCTCTTCCTCCTCTGTCCGCACACATCTCTCACCCCTTTCTTTTCCCCTTGCTCTCTCTCTCTGTCTGTCTGTCTGTCTGTCTGTCTGTCTGCATATCATTTTCTATTTGTGTTTAAAAAGTCGAGAGATCATTTCTGCAATTGTAAGAAAAGAATTGCAAGGAATTGAATCTACGGTAATGTAAGTGGGAATGTAAGTGGTAGCATAAGTAGAAAGAGAACATTCTTGAGAGGGGTTAAGGATTAAGGGAGGGTACCCTGCTGCTCTGCTACTGCCACTGCTGTCCCCTGCTGCTGCCATTGCCACTGTTACTATTGCTACTGCCGTTGCTGCCACAGGTATCTGTGACGATGACTTGGGGCTCTGCTACTGTGACGGACCGATGGGACGCATCCCGGCACCTGACAACGCGCCGCCCGGTACACCGCCCATCCGGCGGGGACGGCCGCTGATCAACTTGCACGACATGCCGATGACGGTACGGCGCGCTGTACGATAATTGTACGGAATTGTCTTTATGCATGTGCTATGGCTTGAGAGATGAAGCTGATGACAGCCATGTACAGTGGGCCTCCCCGTAATGACATAAGAACATCAAGGTGGTGTGGACGCCGGCACGTCGTTCCTTGAGCTTTTGCTGCTCTTGACATCGAATTCGATTATTGGGATGACACCCTCTCCTATATCCTGAGCCGCTTTCCACGCTCTCCATTCCACCTTGCTCAGTCTTCTGGGTCGCGCACTCCCCCTCCTCCCCGTCCTCCTGTCGCGCACTCCCCCTCCTCCCCGTCCTCCTGTCGCGCACTCCCCCTCCTCCCCGTCCTCCTGTCGCGCACTCCCCCTCCTCCCCGTCCTCCTGTCGCGCGCCCCCTCGTAACTGGGCCTTATCCCCGCCCCCGTAGCTTCACTCGCTCGTGGTTCGTCTTTTTCTTTTCCCCCCTTCCCGATGCGGCCAATGGCCTGGCGGGGAACCTGTGTTGACCTGTATGTATGTTGTTACAGGGTGGTTAAGCTTCACCAGCGGCCCCCTTTCCCTTGGAGGCAGTTCCCTGCTCTCCCCTGCGAGAGGGGCACCCTGATCCGTTCACCCCATCCGACTTCAGAATGTATTCGTTGGGTTCAGCAACTCACCACCAGCATCCAACCAAATCTATAGCGGATCAACGGCGCCACAACTTAGTTCCTGAACAGCTCGCAAGTTAATATTATCACATTCTACACCGTCCACAAGATGGGGGGCCATTTCCCAATTCAACACCCCTCGCACACCGAGGGGTCGGCATGCGGATTTAAACCCGGAGCCTCCGGGAGCAGAAGTCAGGCCTTAACTTCTGCCAGCCGCTTGCCTGTATGTATGTACTTGCGGCCTTCAACTATGTGTACTATGTTCATGCCGACAATAATGCTTAATATTATTGTTGTCCTCTAAAACTGTGAATTTCAATATGTGGGGGATCAATAACGTTTTAGCGGTTAGGTGCTAAATCTACCTTCCCCTCGGCTGGTCGCCGCACTTTTGCCAACCTGGCTGTTTCGCCGTTTGTGTTGTCGTACTTGGCGTACAGACGTACGACGGCAAGCCGGTTCCAGGAGGCCAGCAGCCGTACGATAATGTGTACGGTCCGGAGGTGAGGCATGCTTAAGCGCCTGAGTGTTTTCCCTTAACCGCTCCCTCCCCCTACCCGCCCTTCCCAGAGCCTCTTAGGATCATATGGCCCTAGAATGTACGACACGTTCCTTTTTATGTGTGCTTATTATGATATTTTGTTTGTGTTATTGCTAATGTTTTATTTTTCATTGCAGTTCCTATCTCGTACGTGCTTCCAATTTTATACGTTTGCGCAAGGGGAAAGCGCTGGACGCTTGGCCGATGATATGCTGATCATGTTGCAAGTAGAATGCCGCAACATGTGCCGTACCACTTTGCATTGTGCCGTACAAGGGTTTCTGCAACGCGACCAAGCCCAAGTGGGCTCCCGGAGGCTGTGGCGGGCCCGAGGACCTGAACGGGCCGTACTGCGATGAACCGACGGAGTCGTTCTGTCCGGGGGCCTGTAGCGGCCACGGGACGTGCAACCTTGGGTTTTGCGTGTAAGTTTGGTGAATGGGAGGACGACGAGGGAGGGCTCCTGTTTGGGATGCCGTCACCCACCCAGCCCAGCCCCCCCCGGCCCTGCTTTTGACGTTCGCACGAGTCCTTTTGAGTCTTCTGTTGAGCATCCCTTTCGGAACCCTCACCCCACCCCGCCTGCATATGAATGAATGACCCCCATGTCACCCCCATGTCACCCCCATGTCACTGCCATATGGCCGCCGGTACCCACCAGCTGCGATGAGGGCTACTACGGTCACGACTGTGCTCGGAGAAGGGCGGGACTGCCGCTGCTGCCCTCCCGACTGGGGGAGCTGCCCTGGGTGGCTGCACAGGTGTGTTTTGTGTGTGTGGGGGGGGGGGGAAAGAGGGGTTGGGGGGAAGTTGTTGGATGACTCGGACCGCGTGTCTGTATGTATGTATGCGTGTCGTGGTGGTGGTTTGCTGGGGTTGAGGATGAGGGGAGACGAGGTTCGAGTGTGTGTGTGGGGGGGAGGGGGTTCCAGATAAAGGCTGATGATGTTGGCTGTGATGATGGGTCGGCGGCTTCCGAAGGTCCGGAAAGATTAGGTCGGGTCGGGTCGGCTCGCGCCACGGCACTGCCGTACTGCCGTACTGCGGTACTCTTCATTTGGTCGTTGTGATGCCACTACGTCGCATGAAGCCCACCATGTCGCTTCGCCACTGCACCGCACAGCTCCATTCTCCGAAAGTGCAACAATATGTAACTTTTATGGGAACTCACTTCACTACAGCTCCATGTCCGCTTCTCTCCCTTTTTTTCCTTTTTTGCCCTCCCACTCCCCACCCCCCCGTGGGTTGGGGGGAGGGTTTACCCAGCACAACACACAGCACCGTCATCTTCCCGCCATGTGCTCAAACCTCACCCACACACCTCTCCCCTCCCCCTTTCCCCCTTTCCCCCTTCCTCTCTCCCCCCCGATGATGATCTTCCTGTCTTTCTCGTGTGCGTCGTACTTTTATGTATCCATCCCGACCTCCCCCTCCTCTCCCCCTTCCTCCCCCTTCCCCTCCGGGGGGCTGCGACCACGCCTAAAAAAGGTCCACGAGCCGCCGGCGGCGCAGGAGCCCGTGCCACGACCCACCCGCAAGCGCCCCCTGATCTACGTGTACGACCTGGAACCCATGTTCCAAAGCAAGATGCTGCAGTACAGGCGAGTGTACGACACAGTCAGCAACCCGCTGTCCCTTTTTAATCCCCATGCGGGTTGCTGGTATGTGACCAACCCTGACAATACCTACATACTTACATACCTACATACTTACATGTTTACATTTCTACATACCTACATACTTACATATTTACATTTCTACATACCTACAGACTTGCCTCAGCCTGGTGCACGCACCGCTACTACTTGCATCAGAACCGGACTCGGTTCTCCGAGTGGTGCTACGGCGCCGAGTCGGCCCTTCACGAGTATCTGCTGCTGAGCGAACACCGCACATTCGACCCGGAGGAGGCCGACTTTTTTTACGTGCCGTACTACGGCACCTGCATGATCTGGCCCGTACTGCACTGGGCTGACTTTCCGTACTTCCACACGACAGGAGGTAGGTCGGGGGGAGCCGACATGGTGACACTGGGGTTTAGGGTTTGGGGTTTGGGGGGAGGGGAAAGGGGATAAGGGGGGCTATGCGTGCGTGCGTGTGTGTGTATGCTGGAGGCGTGGTAAAAGTGTGTGTGCGTGTGTGTATGTGTGTATGGGAGGAGGGTTTGAACCCACATTTTTGTGCATTTTTAATGTCCCTCTTTTCATGGCCTGAATTCTACCGAGTGCTGTACCGAGTGCCGTACGGTGGCAGTTCATTTCCCTGTGTTTTTCCCCTCTTCCCGAACGGCCCCCGCGGTGGCAGCACCACCCCTCATGGACATGCCTGGTTCGGCCAGATGACGGCCTAAACAATAATGCTAGCGTAGCATATATTATGTATGTACTCCTCCTATTGCACCATGTCACGATTTCTATGACCGATCCGATGATTCCGATGACTCCGATGACTCACGTCGCGCGGCGGGGGGGGGAATCCAACCCAGGCCCTCGCATCCTTCAAGTGATCAACATGCTGATCGATACTGTGGACTGGATCAACAAGATGTACCCGTTCTGGGGCCGACGCGGCGGTCGCGACCACATCTTTTTATTCCCCCACGACGAGGGGGCGTGCTGGGCGCCGAATGTGCTCGTCAATGCCACGTGGCTCACCCACTGGGGTCGTACGGATATGATTCACGAGTAAGCGAAAAAGAGAGTGAGAGTGGAAAGTCGCGGAAAAACCTGTCTCGATACACACCGGTAGGGAGACTGACAGATGAAAATATGAATGGCTTGAAGAGGAAAAGACGATTCCTGACCCCTGAAGGGACAATGCGACAGTCTGCAGAGGGAGAGAGATATTTCCTAATGAGGGGTGGGGGAGGAAGAGGTAGGTGGCAGCAGAGAGAAGACGAAAGAGACGAGAGACAGACGTGCGTGTATGTACGTATGTATGTATGTGGACTGCTGTCCCCATAAATGTGTGCGGCGACGAGCGAGACGCCATTAATGTGGTGTAATGTCGTACCACACGGCTGTGTCGTACGGTGCCGTACCGTTCTGTACTGCAGGAGCAAGACCTCGTTTGATGCGGACAACTACACTAGGGACTACGTGGGCTGGCGGCAGCCGGGCGGCTTCGTGAACCTCATTCGGGGGCATCCGTGCTATGACCCCGTAAAGGTGAGTGAGCCGTGTGGTCGTTGAAAGCGTTAGGCTGTACTGGTGGGCGGTTAGTCGTAGCAACCGCCTATGCGAGCATTTTTTCTTTTATCGCTTTCATCTTCATATGCGTATGTTTGACCTCCTGAAAATGTGGTTTCGGAGCCACCTCTTGGTAATGTCCCTCTGCGCCGCCGCCCGCTCTTTCCTTGCATACTCCCGTCATAACCTCACTGTCCGGAGAGACACACACATGTTGTCATTGTTGTTGTTGTTACAGAGTGGGAGGCTTTGTGGCCATTTGCGCATTTTTGGATAGTCATATCTGGGGGATTGAACGCCATACAGCACGATACACACAGACAGACAGACAGACAGACACACACACACACACACACAGACACAGAGACACACAGACACGCACACACACAGACACACACACATACATACATACATATATATACATACATATATATATATACATACATACACGTTTACCCCCCCAGGATTTGGTCGTCCCCATCTGGCGGCCTCCTCAGCACTACTGGCGGAGCTCACTGCTATCCGCCCCTGCTAAGCCGCGAGACATATTCCTCTTCTTCCGGGGGGACGTCGGCAAGCGCCGCTCAATGCTGTACAGTCGCGGTGTACGACAAACGGTACTAGGGGGTGTACGGTGGGGAGGAAAGGATTGGAGAGCGAGGGGGGATGGGGGGAAATGAAGCAATCTCACAAGCCAATATTGTGGACCTGAGACATGTGCATGTATGTGTGTGTGTGTATCGAGTAAAAGACACCGAAGTTTAAACTATGAGTTTGGATTGGGATTTTTCCAATTTTTTCCTTGGCCCCCCGTGTGTTTTAAATGCTGGCAAATGTCTTCTTGGGTATAAATCTCCTTCACCCCTCCTTTTCTTTTCTTTCTCTACACACAACCCGGGTGATAAGACACGGGTCCTACACCGTGTGCACATTCGCATCACCCAGCCAGGTGAAAGATGATGGTGATGCCCCCTCCCGCGGCTCCCGCCCCAGCTGTCTCCCCCTTCTGCCGCCCTCACCTCACCTCACCTCACCTCACCTACTAGCCCCGGGGTCCAACCCCGTCCCCTAACCTCCTCTTTCTTCCCCCCTCCCCCCCCCTTAACACACACAAACAAACCCACGAACAGATTTACAGGCTTGCGAAGGAGAATAATTGGCAGGATAAACACAACATCCTGATTGGGGACGCGGCCGACGTACCCGGGGATTACTCCGACTTGCTGTCCCGCTCTCTGTTCTGTCTCGTGGCTACAGGTGGGGTGGGTAGGGCGGGGGTTGGGTGAAGGTGGGGTGGGATGGGCGGTTTGAGGGGGTGGGTAGGGGTCTGGGTGGAGGATAGGGTCGTCTTGGTAGACTTGTGGACGCCTTGTGGGTGCTGAGAAGTGTTCCCTCGTGCTGTGTGTTTGGGCGCGTGAGGCTAAAAGAGAGGGCTTTGGGATTCGGTGTGATTCCATCACAGAAGGATATGAATGTGAGAGCTTTTTTCGAGTAGTGTCCGTGTTTTCTGTTTTTTTTTACGGTTGCCTTTTGTACGGCAAAGAGTACGGCAACATATATGCGATCGTACTAGCACCTGTGAGACGGTTTTCTAAACCTTCAATCCGGAAGGCCTTGTAATGGTATTCTAGCACTGCACCAGTTACCCCCTCTAATCCTCCTTATGTGTTCGTCTGTATGCATGTGTGCCGGTTTTATCGTGGATCTCCTGGACTAGGTGACGGTTGGTCAGCCCGTACGGAAGATGCTGTACTGCACGGCTGCATTCCCGTCATCATTATCGATGGCGTGCACATCAAGTTCGAGACGGTGTTCAGTGTGGACGAGTTCTCGATCCGGATTCCGGAGGCCAACGCCAGCCGGATCTTGGAGATTTTGAAGGAAATTCCGAAAACCAAAATCCGATCCATTCAAGCCCATTTGGGCCGAGTGTGGCACAGGTACGATTCCGTTGTCTGACATGTTTCCAAAATCTCACTACCATTTAATATTATAATGTCCATGTTATTGAAGCAGAAGAAGGGGACGTTTGGGATTCTCAGAAGGGTTTGTATGGCATCAATTCTTACATGCAAGCGGATGGTACGGCATCACGTGTGCTTGGGTTCTTCTGTGTTTTTGGTTCTATTCCCTGGCAGCACGGAGCGCGCGAACGCGATCCTTGGGTGCTCCGCAGTCAGAGAGATCCGCCGGGGGCCTGCAGTAAGTCGACAGGAATTACTCAATTTATATTTGATATTCCTTCACTCCATGTTCCTTCCGGGCTGTGGCTGTGTGCGAGAGGGGCTGGAAAGGAAACTCAGTTTCAGACATTGTGGGTGTGTGTGGGAGAAACCCCCCATGGTAGACGTGCATGGAAGTGGTGTGTTATGATATATCCATCCAACTAGAAACAGCTTTGTATGTATCGCAAACAGTTTGGTACCTTGTGATTTTCAACTTGAATGTGCGTGGGAGTGCCGTCACCATGCTTGATTAGTGCTTGTGATTGTGCGTCAGGTAAGGAGAAGGGGGGGGGATTGAAGCCGTGCCGGCTTGCTCTTGCTTCCTGGGGCAGCCAATATAAACCATCCCGGGGCGGAACACGGGGGGCCCCGCGCCTCAACAACACGCCTCGTGCCTTGTGCGGGTGTGGGCCTTCACTGTATGTATGTTGTTACAGGGTGGTTAACTTCGCCAGCGGCCCCTTTCCCGGGGCAGTCCCTGCTCTCCCCTGCTAGAGGGGCACCCTAATCCGTCACCCCATCCGACTTCAGAATGTACTCGTTGGGTTCGGCAACTCACCACCAGCATCCAACCAAATCTAGCGGATCAACGGCGCATCAACTTAGTTCCTGGTCAGCTCGCAAGTTGATTTTATCACGTCCTACATCGTCCATATGATGGGGGGCCACCTCCCATTTCCACACTCCCCAAACACCCGAGGAGCCGGCAGGCGGATTTGAACCCGGGTCGGCCGGGAGCAGAAGTCAGGCCTTAACCTCTGCCAGCCGCCTGCCTCCTGTATGTATGTATGTATGTATGTGCCCCACCGCGCATAAGACGCGACGGGAGGCATGTGCTGCAGAGCTATATGGGGCCACTGGCCCGCTGGCAGTCCCTTCTCTCACCCCCCTGTGTTAACTCGGGGTGCCCTCATGCTTCCCTTCTCTTACACACACACACACACAACATACACAACACAACACATGTGAGCCGACTGCTTGGTCATCTCGCAGGTCGTCACAATAGCCGGGGGGGGGGCTCAGTTACTGTCCATCGGCATAATGGTTATATGCATCTTCCCTCTTTCAGTCGAACATTTTTAATCTGTCGCTGTTTTTCGGATCGATATTTCAAACAGATCCGTTTTTGTGTCGCGCCCAAGCATATGCACAGTGTCCAAAGATGTAGAAATTTCCGTAACTATATTTGTATGTATATGTATGTGTGTATGTATTTATGTAGGTACCGCTACGCCAACCTTCCCGGCCTGGCTTCGGAGCTTCGTCGCCTGATGGTCTCCAACACAGCCGACCCCTTGATCCGCGAGGCCGCCCAGCTCAGTGCCAGCGAAGAGGTCCGCCTGCCCCGTCCCTTCCGCGGAGACCCTGCTGTGGATGACGCCTTCGCCACCATCATGCAGTGGCTGTACTCCAGGATACCGCACACCAGGTAGCGCAGTATCCATGTATGTATGTAAGTATGGGGGTGTGTATGTATGGGGGTCTGTACCTATGTATGCATGTATGTACGGGGGTGTGGATGTATGGACATGGGTGTAAGTGAATGTTCGATGAATCGGGTTACCCGACCAGTCCCGGCACCCGGTGTGTGTGTATGTGGGGGAGAGGCGAATTTGGACGTACTTACATACGTACATGGCAGGATGCCGTACGCACGGGGGAGCACAGGGGCGAAGGAGTTCGTACCCATCATGGCCCCAAAGTGTACATGTTGCTGCCTTGTCCTTGCAGTGGCGGTGCTGGAGGTGAGGAAGGTGGTGGTGGTGGTGGTGCCTTGGAAGCAAGGATTACAACGCTTACTGCCAATCGCGTTCTTGGAATTACGTGATGATTTGTGCGGGTGATTGCGACGGCGGACCGGGTGCAGTCCAACAGTCATGTATGTATGTATGTATGCATGTTTTCTTGTGTTTCGTGATATCGTGCGGGAGGAAAGCGCGTGGCCCTAACGGCGAGCGGCATTGCTGTGATGACATGGACGATTGTGACAATGACCAAGTCATGCGTGTGTGACAAACCCTCAGTTATGCTACTTGGGCAGGAAGATGTTTTCCGCCGGACACACTGTCTGTATGTCTGTCTTTCTGTCTGTTTTTTAGTGTGTGTGGCGCCGCTTTGTCGTTCTCTTGCAGTATTGTGTGTTTTGTTTTCATCCTTTTATTCTTATTACCTCTTAAAAAGTTTAAACCTGTGGGTCGGCGGTGATGGAGAATTTTGCTCTTCTTTCGCCGGCCTTGAACAGCGCGTGCATGTATGCTATGTACTCTGCATCTGGGAACTGTGCCCTTTTCCAAAAGGCGGGGCGGAAGTGGGCAAACACATTTCCACCTTTCCCATCTGCAAAGGCAATTTCAAGGGCGTGTCGATATTGGTGATTCTGATGCGCCGTATTGCGGCATCTCCGTCAGGAATACTAAGGTGGGGGGATGGGGGTGGATGGAAGCGGACGTGGTGCCACTATTGGACGCCACGTCGTCGCATGTCATGGGGCAGAGAGAGAGAGAGGGGTTAGGTACATGCATACATACATACATACATACATACATGCGTACGCACATACAGGAAGGAGAGAGAAAGAGAGAAGGCTCTCGTGTCAGGCGAGTTTGTGGGTAGGGTTTCCGTTTCCCCCCTACTTCCGGAAAAAGGAAAACTTGAGCACGAGTCGTGACGTGATGTGTGATGTGACTTGGTGTTGATTTTGACGTGGCCAGGAAGGGCGTGTTGGGGTCTCGGGTATAAACTGCTTTGTCCGTTTTCATCTTTGTCGTTTTTTTGACATGCATGCAATCGCCGGGAGGGCGAGGGCATATGCCGCCCTGTCGTTCATCTTCCCATCTTGAGACACCACCACCTGCCGTGTTCTTCCGCATCACATTTATCACACACATAGATATACGTTCGTGGTGAAGAGGTGATGGCACCATCTGGGTCGCAACTTACCTTTCAATTCTTAACTGGATCGACATTTACCTCCAAACTGAACAAATACTAAATACTACAGTATCAGTCGCTGGCAACGTGCGTCATCTCATCTATGGTGTAAAAATATAAAACATTAGTTCCCGTGCAAGGGATGGGCGATTGCTTTCCCACCACACAGACGTCATACAGGGTTGGGGGAAACTATGCCCTCGCTCTCACAGTCCGTCCCTCACCTTCTCCATCTTCGCATCGGTGCTCTCGGCCACGGCTCAGCTCACGGCATCAAGCGCATACACCTGTATACTATGGACCCTAAACCCCCATGATGTGATGCAGCAACGTTCCCTCTGGATGTACGCCTCCAAGTCTATCGCATCATCTTGTGTATCGCCGCGTAGTCAGGAACTCGTTTTCAACACCGTCCCCTGGAGCAGTCCGCCCCTGAGAAGACGATGCCGTGCACATTTCAAAAGTTTATGATATTGCAAAGTGACCAAGGCAATGCATGTGCTCAGGTGTGCAGGGAAGGCTGCACCAACATAAGCTGCCAGCCGTATCGACCCTACTTGGGGCCGCATGGAAACGCCCGCCGGAGCTCTTGGTTGCCCCGCCAGCCAAACGTTATCAGAAATGCAACATTTCATGCTCACACACTTGACTCAACAGCTATGTTACTCTCCCCTTAGATTTCCATATGGAAGTCGGCGTGGAAAGCTGCGTGAGGCTTTGACCAGTATTGCAAATGACTGTAACAGTAGTAACGGCAGGTGTATAATAGATCAGGTATATTATGCACCCCTTGACCACTTTAGCGGCTTTAGGGAAGGTCTGCAAAAGTATTAGCAGTTTAGCGCCCTGTTTGTACGTTTTGTGCCGTATTCTGTATGACATGCTGCGCTGAACCGCTGGCGATAGACAGTTTGTCGAAATACTTTACATAGATTACTCCTGCTTAAGATACATGCAAAGCCAATGTCTGTGACAGGCACTGCCGGCGGTCGCATTGCGCCGGGCGTTGGTGCGAACCTTATCGGGCAGCATGCACAAGACCGAAATCAGGAAGCGACGGTATATGTTGGGAACTTAGATGTACAGGTTCGTATTGTCGTCCAGTCCGATGGCTTTGTAAAGCACCCAGGGGCAACTATCGCGAACCACGGTACAGGTGGCGGAGGAGCTTGTCTGGGAGCTTTTCACGCAAGCTGGCCCAGTTGGTAAGTCCCTTACGATTCGGGACTTGCGGGACTGTTTCAAACCGCCACAGCATCATGCCATGATATGTCCCCGCGCAGTGAACGTCTACATGCCAAAGGACCGCGTCACCAGCCAGCATCAGGGGTATGGCTTCGTTGAGTTCAAAGGCGAGGAGGATGCGGATTACGTGAGTTGGCCTAATTTAGGGACAACAAACGGGTGGTCCCCCTTCACACCCCTAACAGCGGCGGACGCCCTTTTCGAGCCAACCGTGCATTTCACCCCACCCCTCCCGTTTTACCCTTCTTCAAACGTTCCACTCCATGGACACTCTATGATTTAGGGTGCAGCAGTTTCAGGGTGCAGCAGTAAAACAATCGCGTTCTCGTGTCTGAGAGACGTCCTGAGAGAATGAGCGCCATTGCGCCTCATGTCGCAAGGAAGGCCTTTTTTCTGCCCCCCTTACGGTGTGGCTCGGTCGACTGCTGTGGGGGGGCTGGGGGGACAGGGAAGGGGCCATGCAGAAGAGGAGGAGACAGGGCAGGAGGGCAGAAGCGCTGGACAGGGCAGGGCTGGGGAAGAAAAAAAGGGCGCGGAGGATGCCGGTGTGTGAGGAGTAAAACCCAAAGCAAAAACATAGGACAATACTGACAGAGAGAGGGAAAGATTCAATACAGATTTACTTTGAAGGGAAAGGGGTTGTGCAGGAGAGTGTGAGGCTGGGGAGAGGGAGGGAGCAGCAAGGCAGGCCACGGACGAGACCAAACACCGAACTGCGTAATGCACAGCGACGGCTAAAAGCTCTTAAGTTAGGTTCCTGGAGTAGCTACTTCGGGTTATCAGCGGCCACAACTAGTGGTCGGAGGAAGATGCGTTGGGTGTGCCTGGACCTGGCAATCTCCCGCTCGCGCTTGCCCTCTCTTCCCACCTCCCTCTCTCTCTCTCACACACACACGCACATGTTCCCTACCTCGGCCCTTGCATGTCGCGGCTCAGTTTATTAACTGAAAAACACAGACACGCATTCCCACCCCCGTACATTTCTCAATGGCGCGAGTCACGAACGGCCCAACCCCGTGAGCAGGTAGGGTTAGGCGAAGCACGCCATGCCGCTGTGCTGGTTGAGCCCTCCCTTCCCCTGCGGGGTCCCCACCCCTTCTCTGCCGACTGGTCAGTTCTGCTACCGTCCCGTACATCTTTGTCGCAGGACTCTTTCCCCACTTGGCAGCAGCTTCGCTCGCTGGCAGTTCATCTTTTCCCCCCTTCTCCCCCTTTTTCGAGGCCAAAACAATTTCTCCTCCTACATGCCCACAGGAGGATGCGGTAACTGATCATTGCCCCCTTACCATGAACTCGCCGGGTTAGAAACCCCACACGCAAACCCCGGATGCCTCCCCCCACCATAACCCCCCGTGCTGGGGTACTTGGCACCCTGTGGGGCTCACCTGGTTCCGCCCCCCGCACTTACATGCATGTGTGCCGTACGTCGTACAGTCCATCAAGATCCTCAACATGATCAAGGTGTACGGCAAGGCCATCCGTGTGAACAAGGCCAGTCAGGACAAGCGTCAGGCGGATGTGGGAGCCAATTTGTTCATTGGGAATCTGGATCCGGATGTGGACGAGAAGGTACCTTGGGGTGCTATGGGGGTGTGCATGTGCATATGTATGTATGTGTGCATGTGCATATATGTATGTGTGCACGTATTGTGTGCGTGTGTGTAGCTGCGGCTGCTGCAGGCAAGTAAGAAAAAAGTGTGTGTGTGTGGGGGGGGATGTATGACGGTAGAAGGGGGAAGACATCAAAACGAAACTTTCATTCCTCTTGCTGGTACGGGTGCGGGGTGCCGGGTGGAATATGTCGGCATCGATTTCCCCTTTCGGACGCGGCCTTTGCGGCCGGGGTGGGGGGAGAAGAGATGAGGCTGCCCCGGGTTTGCCGGGATCGACCCTTCCTATCTGGCCTGGCACGAACACCACCGCCGTGTATTCCCTTTCCCCTACCCTACCCTGCCCTTCCCCGCCCCCCGGCACCCCATCCCGTCCCGCCCGCCGTACGCACGACGTACATTCAGCTTTTATACGACACATTCAGCGCCTTTGGCGTCATCGTCAACACCCCCAAGATTATGCGTGATCCCGACACGGGCAATTCTCGAGGGTTTGGATTCGTCAGCTACGACTGCTTCGAGGCGTCAGATGCGGCGATTGAGGCCATGAGCGGGCAGTACTTGTGCAACCGGGCCATCACGGTGTCGTACGCGTTCAAGAAAGACACCAAAGGTGTGCGTCTGTCTGTATGTGCGTGCGTGCAAGAGAGAGAAAGAGAGAGAGAGAGAGAGAGAGAGAGAGAGAAAGAGAGAGAGACTGCACGGTGGTCGGTGGTGGGGAAAGGAGGGGGAGGGAAGGGGAGGGGGGAGGGGGGAGGGGGTAAGACGAACCACGAACGAGTGAAGTTGCTGCCAAGGAAAGAGCAGAACTGACCAGTAGGCGGTTTTGAAGGAGGCGACCTCGGGGGCCGGGAAGAGAAGGGGGGATGGGGGCGGGAGGCCGGGTGTGTTTTTTGTCACTGCTGATGATGTTCCAGCGCTATTGCTGCTTAGGAAACCCCCTCTCACCCGCCCCCCCAACCCACCCCCGCTGCTGCTGCTGCAGGCGAGCGCCACGGCACCCCCGCAGAGCGGCTGTTGGCTGTCCAGCAGCGGGAGAAGATGGCGGCGCAGAGTCGGCCCAACCAGCTGTTCGCGGAGGGGCCCAAACTCAAGGGGCAGCAGGTGGGGCAGCCGCCCGCGGGCCCGGCCCCCCCCTCGGGACCCTTCCCGTCAGGCGAGTCTTAATGTGGGGTGGGGTGGGGTGTGTGTTGAGAGGTGTGGGGGAGAGAAATGAGGGCTGTTGGGGGAGGTGAGGGGGGGCCATGGAGGCGTTGGGTTGGCTGGGTTCGGGTTTGGGTACTGTACTGATGCTGATGCTGATAGGCATGCTGATACTGATGCTGCAGGTCCACCGCAACCGCCGATGGGTCCCCCTGGAGCGCCGCCACCGCCGCCGGCCGGCTACCCGCCTGTGCCGTACGGAGGCATGCCGCCGCCGCAACCTCTACCCATGTGGGGTGAGTGAGTGAGGGGCGCCGTGTGCTCACACCACAAATTCCATCACAGCACAACACAACACAACGCTCTTACTCTTGGTGTAGACTGTTTGTGGATGTGGAGTGAGTGATGTGGGTATTGCCACGTCCAGCTCGATTCACCCCGCGGCACCAACCCGGCTCTTCATGGGTGCGGATCCCTCCATGGTGGTGAGGACCCCTCCATGGGGGGTTGCACAGCAGCATTCGCTCCCTCAACCGCTCATCTCACAACGCATCACTATAGAAAGAAGAGGACCTCCACCTCATCAAACCCACAAACAACATTCCCAAAACACCTTTCACCATCAACATCTCCAACATCGCCCTCTCGCATTGCAGGGTCGTATCCACCACCACAGATGCCGCCGCCGCCAGCGCCCTACCCGGTGAGTGCATGTCCCCCGCGGCGTTTGGGGAAGGTAGAGAGTTTTGCTTTCCGAGGGTTTTATTTAAGTTCTTGGTTTTTAGTTTTTTTAGTTTTGGGCGAGAGGGCCCCGGGGGTGAGAGCGCGGGCCAAGGAGGGGGAGGGTGTAGGAGAGGGAACGGAATTTTCACTGTGTACTGTTTCCTCCACGGGCCGCCGCGGCCGCCGCCGCCGTACCCCTTCACCGTTGCCTCCGTCCCGCTTCTCTCGCCACCATCATCATCAACATCATCATCATCATCATCATGTGAAGGCCTTGTATGCGGGTGCGGACTGCTCCCTTTCATTACCACCACCACCACCGTTGCCGCCACCTCCAGCACCTCGCAGTCCAGGTCTCTGCAGCGCCGTTGGGCCCTTGCCTCGGCCCCGCGGCCGCTGCGTGCTTGCATGCCCTCTCAATTAGTAATAAGGCTTCTAGTGTTTACTTACACCCCTCCTACATACAATCTAATAAAAGTAAGGTTAACACTGAGAAAAGTACTCCCGCAAAATAGATGAAAATCCTCTATAACCTCACTAATCATGGCTTTCTATCTACTTTTAAGTTATATTTTTGTAGATTCCACACACAGAGCTGTTACACAATTGCACGCCCTCCCTCTGCCATCACACTCCCACCCTGTCGACAGGGACCGTACGGTATGCCGCCGCCGCCAGGTCCGTACGGCATGCCACCCCCCCCGCCAATGTACGGCATGCAACCACCGCCGAACATGCCGCCGCCGCCAGGCTACGGGGCTCCACCACCGCCGCCACAGGGTTACGGCATGGCCCCGCCGCCGGGGATGCCGCCGCCGCCGCCGGGGTACGGCATGGGTCCACCCCCGGGGATGCCGCCGCCGCCGCCGCCGGGGCGATAGTTGCGGCTGCAGCAGCAGCATGACATGGCATGGTCATCAGTGTTTGGTGCTGACGTGGGCTCTCCTCCTCATTCTTCAACTTAAAGTTTGAGTTGAAGGTTTGATTTCAGACGACGATCACTTGGGGGGATCGGTAGGCCCATTAGCTGGTGCAGAGTCTGCATGGGTCGGGAAGCTAATGGCCTGGGGGCGGGAGAGGTAACGCAGACGATATCTTACTGAAACTTGGAATCAAAAGGGGGGCCCCGGGTGTTTGCCGGAATGTGGGTTGCAAGGAAGGAAGCGAAAGGCAGCACCTCACCTCACCTCACCTCACCGTATCTCGACCGCATCGCGTCTTACCACATCTCAGCTAAGACCTGGCAACAAACGTCAACAACCGAAGGGACGGGTGCGAAGAGGGCGTCTTTGAGCAGCTGTGCGGAATGACCTCCTGCAGCCCCCAATGAGGTCGAGGTCGCGATTATTCTGTTGACCGTTGGGATAGACCGCCGGTAAGAGGCGTCTGCGTATTCCTTTCTTTCTGACTGACCGACCCGGGCACTGACTGAAAGGTAGATAGATAGGCAGAGAAGACAGACAGACAAACTCTGGGTTGTTTTGGTTTTTTTGTGGGGGGTGGCGCATACCTCCTTACGTGTGGTTGTCAACCGGTTGGGGTGTTGTGGTGGAGTGATGGGGCGGCACGGGGCTCCTCCTGCAGTTGCGGTTCTCGGTCGCCGGTGGTTGGCCTGACGGGGTGTGTGAGTGTGGGTGGGGCGAGTGATGTACCTCTCTGTCTGTGTGTATATTTGTATGTTTGGACACTTGACAAGTTTTTCGCGTGTGTATGTGTATGTGTACGACCGCGTGCGTGTGTGTACGACAGGGTGTGTGTGCATGTGATTTGCTTCCGGCTCTGAAGCACGCCCCAGGAAGTTCCACTCCAAAACAGCAATGTCCTCCTTGCATCTCATGTTGTACTTGGTGCTATACTCGCTTTGCGCGTCGCGTTTATTAAATGTTTGTAATGATGGATCCAACTCTGGTTCGCTCCAAATTCGGCTTCATCGCCACGCATGGAGCTGTCATTCCCTGCGACCCGGTCTTACCGCCGGTTGGCCCTCTCGCCATCGGAGGCAGTTTTTCCCTTTCCCACCACCAATTCTAACCAACAGCAGCTCTCCCGCCGTGACCAGCACAGCAGGCGTATCTCCCATCTGGGGCCTTATCCGGCATGGGAAGAACGTGGCCCCCGTGTGCCCGCGCGTCCTCTCGTCTTGCCGGTTTTCTACCAACACGACGGTACCTTCTTCCGGGCCATGTGTTTCTTTTATCAGATTTCCGTGGTTTCAAATATTATGGCATTCCAGGCACCTAACTAATTGTGAAAATGTCTCAACTTGTTCTCCCTAGGGTTTCCAGTCGGCCTGACGCGCACTTCTACCCATTCTTCACTCTTCCCTCCTGGTCCGGGTCGCCAAGGCGAGAAAGCTCGTAAGTGCTTTTGTGCAAACCTCAATTCTCCCTCTCTTTCTCACCTTACACGGCATCGCCTTCTAGGAGGAAAAAACTGTCACATTATGGGCAACCGTAGACAGTCCCTTCTTAGTGAAATCCGCATGGCTCATGGGTATAGCACAGGGGAGAGTTCCAATACCTTGTAAAATAAAATACCTCGGACCCACGGACCGGGATTTCCGATGCTGGACTGCAACACACGGATTTCCGGGCTTACAGAGCCGTGGAATACGGTAAGGACGCAACGAAGCTGGGGAGCAGAGGTCGGCAAACAAGGCGGGTACTGCGGGTCCGTACCACAGTACCCGCAGCCGTAATTCGGCTCAAGGCCCCGGCTGCGGCTCCCTAATGACCAAAATTTGACCAAAAGACGTGATTTGCAGCCTCTATTGAGGCCGTAGGGCCGCGCGCTGAACTTGAACCTGTGTTTGACTTTGAATTTTTTTAGGTTTACTGACCGAAGTTATGCCCTCCCGCAGCCGTAGAAACAGATTTGCCGACCTCTGCTTTCAAGTTAGGGCAGGCAGATCATGGTTATGGACCTCTGACCAGTTGAATACTGAACAACGGGAACAAGTTGACCGTTTTCCGGTATCAGAACCGAAAAAGGAAAAGCATTCTCGGTAGATTCGTACATTTAACTTGCCGCGATGGTAAAATGTTTCGTTCTAGGATAAGGCAGGAATAGCCTGGAGAAGGCAAAGCTGTTTCAGGGTAACATCACCATGAAACTTCAGCTTCAAGCTGTCGAGTTTAGATATGATGCTAATTTGTTTTCTTTATTTTATTTATTACGCTGTTTAAAACTTTAAGGGGACTTTAAGGATGAAGGGTTTGGTTTGGGTGGCCTTGCTTTTGGCAATCTGTAGCGCGCTCGGCTTCCAAGAAGCAGTAGTAAAGTCTGTGAAGCAGTGCGCTCCTGGTTGCACCGATCGAGGAAACTGCAACGCTGAGACGGGGGACTGTGAATGTCCCTGGGGATACACAGGTGTGATATCAGAGCTCGGCGCTAATCACGTAGCTATATAAACAGAGCTGTGAGCATGGACATCAAATTCTGTTGCACCAATTGTCCTACGGCTGCAGGGCAGGCATGCGAGGTTGACCGCATGGCCGTTTGCAGACAGACGCCTGATGACCCAGGTCAGTGCGCGTCTAGTACTGATCAAATCGCGCATGGCAACATGACTGAGGGTTGACAGCCGTGTCCTGACCTGGCGACTGCATGGATTGCGTGATATGGCGGGTTAGCGGCCGCCGGGTCCAGTTCCTAGTCCCTCCTTGTCTCGCAGTGCCGATCTCACTGCATCTCTGTCCTCATATTTCTTCATCTAATTCCACGACGATGTTCTTTATCTTATCTTAAGTCTTCCCTTTTTCCCTCTCTCCCCCTGTTCCCCTCCCCCTTGCCGCCACAGGATCCTGCGGCACGCTGTGGCCCAAACACTGCGACTGCTACCAGACCTGTCAGCGCCTCTACTGCGGGGGTCGCCTCCTACGTGTACAGTATGAAAGTGTGGACAGCTGCACGCACGAGCTGGGGGAATACGTTTTTAATGCCAGGTGCTGGATGCTCCGAAACCCGGATTCCTCTATTCCGAGCAGCTCGCGGCTGCCCCTGAATGTGACTTCTGACACCATCTGGTACGAACACTACGCGCGGGAGGTGCGTATGTGTGTGTTTGTGTGTATATATGTGCGTAAAGAAAATGTTTGGGTGAGTACGAAGCCGGGGGGAGGAGGAAAGGAAAGGGCCGAGCGGTCGGGTGGGGGTTGGGGGGGAAAGAGGGGGAATTCCGGTGGGAGAGGTGGTTGGATAGGCGTTACACGTAATCCGCACGGCAGCTCCGCGGATCCGGATCCGGATCCGGCTCAAGTACGACGGTTCCATATTAAATATACGGTGGTTTTCACCTTAGGCTCGCACGCACCAGGTTCCGTCGCCTTAAAGACTCGATAAGTCTACATCAGACTATTACGTTGCACAAAACATGGTTTCAACGAAGTTGTCAACGGGGACAAAAGGGACAGCTAACCGTCTGGAGAAAGCTTTTTAGTCGGGCTGGATATTATAACACAGCTGGAGCTTCTCCGCTTTGGGTTCCCCACGGGTCGTGACCAAAGGGAAGCCAAGTTGAAGAAGCACCAAGGGAACCAAATTAATAAAATAAATTCTTATAGCGGTATTCTGGAAGTTTCTTTCATTTACCAACTAAAACGTCAAATTGTTGGAGAAAGACGTTGCTAGAGGCATCGATATATAAAAAACTATAATCAAACTTGCATTGCATTTATACACGAACCAAAAGAACTACAAAGTTTTGTCAATATAAAAGCTTATTTACCTCAACCGGAGGTCAGCTGTTAAGATCAACTAAATAAGAGCTATAGACTGGTTTCGGAGTCTGTCCGTGTCCGCGTCCGTCTCCTTGGGGGTTTTACCCTCGGGGAAGGGGACCAGGAAGGCCGCCGGTGGAGAGGGATTAATCACTACTTGTGCTAATCACTACTACCTTGCTCGGAGGAATTAGGTTTATCACGGATTGCTCTGCTGAGGTGTGGAGATGGGAGGTCTATTTTGATGGCCTGAGTGTTTCACATACTGGATTGGAGGGGATGGCTGATCTGTTTCTACGGATGTCGGGTGACTGGATGATGATGATGAGGGGTCTAGTTAGCAAGACCAAGAAATCGCCTTCGGTTGTAAGGCGGAATTACCTCTCAATGTATGTATGTAGTCCATGGCCCCTAACCAGGATTTGACGGACCACCCCCCACTCGTGCGGAACTTGTAACTTGCACAGCTAATTTGTTACTTGTACTACGACTCCTCGACTGCGTGCTGAGGATTCGATACGGCCCCCGGCGTGGGCGGCCTTAGGGCCGCATTTCCACCCTTACGGCCAGAATGCCTTGTGAAATGTTATTAGGGTAAGCCGTAAGGCGAAATGGTATGATTTATTATTTATTACTATGCATGTTTATTTTTATTTTTTATTTTTTGTACATAACAATATAATTACAATATATTAAATGTATTATATATTTATTATTATAATACTACTATACCACTATATTATTATTATATTTATTATAATACTTTTAATGAGTTACAATGCCGCCCCGCCCTTTAATCCACCCAACTGCCTCCAACCCAAAAAACGAAACGCGCTGTACCCCGAACACCCGTTACGCAGGGTGAGTCGTACGGCCCCCACCTGGAAGCTTCCCCCGAGTTGGTTGGACTTTCCAACTGGGAAGGTAACCACACCGTGCACCCCCTGGAGGAATGTCCAGACCGTTGTTCCAACGGTCGCGGTGTGTGTCTGAAATGGCACCACCAGGACCGGCCGCACTGCATGTGCAGGAAGGGTTTCAACGGGACGAGCTGCGAGTCGGTGAGTGGGGGGCCCCCCTGCACTTGGGTGAGTGAGTGGGTATGTATGTACGTATGTATGCACGTATATATGTATGTACATACGTACGTATATAGGTGGAATGTTATGTTTTTGCTGTGACTGTGGTTGTGGTGTGACTGGGTGAAGGCTGGGTGGGCCGCAAATTACACCACTGCGGGCGGTAACCAGCTTGTGGCTGCTGATTTCTAACTGAACACTTTCGGCTTCATCCCCCTCCCCCCGTCCCCTCTTCCTCTTCCGCCCTTTTTCCCAGCGGTTGCCCCTCTCCCTGCTCTCGCCCCCTCCCCCCGCCTTCTTTTACTTTTGGTGCAGCAGTCTTTCCCTGGCATCACCTTCACTCGCTCATGGTTCGTCTTCCCCCCTCCCCCCAGCTTACATACCTCCCTCTCCCCCTCCTCTCCCTCCCTCTCCCCCTCCTCTCCCTCCCTCTCCCCCTCCTCTCCCCCTCCCTCCCCCTCCTCTCCCCCTTTCCTTACAGGAGGACAGCAGCGAGGCCTGTTGGTTCAGCCCCACCTGCGGAGACCGGGGTCACTGCCGCAGCGGGTTCTGCCACTGCAGACAGGGATTCTTTGGAGTGGGTTGCCACCGGTCAACCGCCTACCAGCCAACCAACCCGGGGACGTTACCCGACTTGAGGTGGGGAGATGCGGGGAGGGGAGTAGTAGAGGGGAGCGTCGTACATGTTGCTGTGTCAATTGTCGTACATGCCCATGTCCGTAAAATGTGTTACGAACTGCGCCGCGGGTAATGTTTGTCATCATGGATGTCTGTTGAAAGCTGCATCACGGCGATGCAGTAGTCTCACCTGCAATGACGTTGTGGAAATTGCTGGACGTTTTTTGAGGGGTATGTGTGTGTGTGTGTGTGTGTGTTTATGTGTGTGCTCCCCACCCCTTCCACACACCCTCCCCAAATCCACACACCCCTCCGTTTTCAAGACCTCGCTCGAAACTCAAGATCTACATGTACGACCTGCCCTGGGAAGTCGCCTTCCCGTAAGTTGGTTGTGTGGATCGCACTCTGCCGTGGTGGCTACCGGGCTGTGGGGTCGGAGGGGGGGTTGGATATCTGAGCTCCCGGGGGGCGTTGTTGAGCCCCCATCGTCTTGGTGGGAGGCAAGGGCAGCGATTGGGGGCTTCCCAGGGCATGGGGATATCACCGATATCACCGGAGACACACCAAAAGCATCTTCCGCCCACTCTCACCCCCCTCACACACGCACATAGTCATACACACACACACGGAAAGCACACCTCGGGCTACCAAACACATCCACACACATCGGGGGGGGGGGAAGGGTGGGGATTGGGGACTTTGTTTCCGAAGCAAGGGGGTATCACCTGAGGCACATTCGCTCTCCTCCTTCCCGGGGAAGGATGGACCAGTGGTACCTTCCCCCGGTGTTTTGGAAAGTCCCGGTCGCCGGGTGCCGTACGGTCAAACTTACTTTGACCATGATCCATTGGGATGATCCAGGCCGCACGCGTGCGGCTTCCAAAGGAAATACACATGCAGGGTCCGGGCTTGGGGTGGATGGATACACATGCTGAGCGCTGAGCTTTCCAAAAGAGTTTGTCTTACAGCCCGTGGCTGCCGTACCGCTGTACTGCCGTACAGTTACGAGTACAACGATGGTCACTTTGGCCGAGACAAGATGTACGCAGCGTACGAGTATTTCATGACGTACTTTCTGCAAGATCATGCCGTACGGACAGGTACGTATGTACAGCGGCCGAATCGCCGGCATATGGGGACCTCTTGTTTGGAGGCTGTTGGTAGGGGGGTTGCATGTGTGTGTGTGTGTGTGTATTTCTTACCCACCTCCTCCCTCAGCCCCCATACGCACCCGCACACATGCACGCCTTTGACAAACATACAGATGCACATAAACACAAGTTTCACAAAGACAACCCCACCTCCCCAGGGCTCCAAAACTCCCGCCGCTGCGGCCCAACACCCCCCATCCCCCACCCGCCGGTGCTTCCGTACACAGAGAATCCGTACGAGGCCAACCTATTCTACATACCCATGCTGGCGTACTTTTACATAGCCAATGTACGGAATCCCGTACCCCAGGTGACCCTAGCTTTGGATTACGTACGAACGAAGTGGCCCTTTTACAACCGCACAGGTAGGTGGGTGGGGTGTACTAGGGTGGAGTGGCCCCCCTAGGGCTCCAGAATCACATGATTACCCCGGGGGGGGGAAAGAGGACGCCGCCAACTGATTATCCTACATATCATTTTGCATCACCTCATATGACTTTCTCCCCCCCACCACCACCACCAAAAAACAACTCCCTACCCCCCCTTTTGGAACCACCCACCCACCCACCCACCCAACCCGGGTTAGGCGGCCGGGATCACTTTTACTTCCTCACCGGCGACCGGGGCGCGTGCAGCACCCCCCGCTGGCTGCAGGACAGCTGCATCAAGCTGGTCCACTTCGGTCTGCAAGGGGAGGAGCTGCCGGGGACGGGGGTTCCCAACAGGGAGTACGGGTGCGTGCAGGTGAGAGGGGAGAGTGGGGAGCGGGGAAGAGTGGGGAGGGGGGGAAGGGGAGGTCGTAGGTTTTCCCTTCCATCAGCTCCTCTGTTTGGCCTCCTGCCGTGAACTCCCGCCTTCCTGCTGATCCTTCCGTACTTCATCTCCCCCCTCCTCCCCCCCTCCCCCTTCCTCCCCCCCTCCTCCCCCCCTCCCCCAACAGGTAAAGAGGGACCTGGTCATTCCTCCGATCAATCTGTTCACGGATCTAGTACCCTCGGAAACACAGGCCTACTACAAGGTAATGGGGGTGGGGGTGGGTGGGGGCGGATGGGCAGGGGAGTGGGGAATTAGGCGGGGGGAAGGGGCCCTATGGGGCCTTACATGGTAAGGGTGCGTGTGGACGAGCGTTTAGAGGTGTGCCGTGGGTTTACATATGTGGGGGGTTGGGGGGAATGGGGTTTGGGTGGGGTGTACGGCCCTTGCCATACGAAATCAATGTCAAAACCAATGCTGACGAATGACGACAACTTTAATGTTTGATGGGAGCATGTGCGGAACGGGGGGCGGGGTTTGGAGGGAGAGCGGGAAGGGTTAGTTATCCTCGTCCTTTTAATCTCTGTGATTCGATGTTATCCCCTAGCGGCCTTTCCCCTCCCCCTTGTTCCCCGTGTTGCAGTGGTTGGTGTCCAAGAAGGGGTACGACAGTAATCGGAAATTGCTCTTCTTCTTTGCGGGGGGTGTTGGGCAGGTTCCGGAGTACAGCGGTGGCGTAAGGCAGGTGTGCATGCGTATGTGTATCTGTACGTCTGTATGTCTGCATACAGGGTTGCGTGTGTGTGTGTGTGTGTGTATGTGGGGTGGGACGCGGGGCATTGCGGAATGTGGGATGTTGCGGACATTGGCACTGCGGGGCGGCGCGGTTCTGGAAAGGGGTGGAGTGGAGTGGAGTCGACGAAACACAGACACGGCGAAACACAGACACGGCGAAACACAGACACGGCGAAACACAGCCCCAACCCCCACTTAGGCAACCACCTAGGGAGGACTTCATGGGTGCCGCAGTCCCGTACTTAACCAAGTAACTAATTAACTACCTAGCTACCTAACTACAACGACCAGCGATAGGGAGGGGGCGCCACGTGGCAGCAACACAGCCGGCAGATGTGAGATATGCCCAACAACAACAACAGCATGGTCATGCACCTCGCCCCCCCGTCCCTAAATCTACCCCTTCACCCCCCTTCACCCCTCCTCCGGCCCCTCTCACCTCGACACACATACACACACAAACACACACACACACAAACACACACACACACACTCACACACACTCACACACACTCACACACACTCACACACTCACACACTCACACACACTCATACACACACATACACACACACACACTCACACACACACACACATACACACATACACACATACACACATACACTCACTCGCACACAAAAAATACACTCAACTCCCCCCCCTCCCTCGTTCCCCCGCAGGCAATCAAGGGACTGCTTTCCTCCCTCACACCCAAACCCGAGGACGTGGAGTTCTTTGAGGGTCGAGTGCACAACTACAAAGAATTGCTGCAGTCCTCCAAGTTCTGTATCGCACCGTAAGCTAGCTAAGCGCTTTCTGTTGAGTGTACAGTGCCTTGCGGCTCCTCCAGGTATCGGTTTTGCAATATGTGTGCTGCTACAATATGTAGTGTGATATTGTTTTTGTGATTTTTGCCCATATCGTGGTGGTGAGGATGGTGGTGGCCGATGACTTAAAACGCCGTGCTGACGTGGCTCTGCAGGTACGGCTTTGGTTGGGGGTTGCGGTTGATCCAGGCCATTGAGTACGGCTGCATACCGCTCATCATCCAGGACCACGTGTACCAACCGTTCGAGGTACGGCAATTCGGTTGGGGAGGGACATGGGAAGAGGAAGGAGGCCGTACCCATATACAAAGCCGTGGGGAAAATAGCCTGATGTACGTTGGTAGTTGGTAGTTGGTAGTTGAGGTGGTTTGGCTGCAATTTGAGTGGTGACTGCTTGAGGTGAATGGGGAGAGAAGGTAGAGGAGAACAGCATTGAGAACATTGAGAAGGTGGGAAGGAGAAGAAGTGACGATCATCAAGAGGGGGGCCCCGCTGTTGGCTGTCTTCCGGGAGTACGGCAACACCCCCCTTCCTTGCCCTTGGTCTTTATGAGCAGTTCCCGTTCCTTCACCTACCACCCTTGACTCCTCCTGTCCACCCTCCCACGCCCGCCACCAACGACCACCAACTACCACCAACTACCATCTCGCCTTTCGCCGCCATGGCGCTGAGCGACCCAAGGACTTCCTGCCGTACGAGGAGTTTTCCGTACGAATGGGTTTAGTTGACATACCGTACATGATCGAGCTACTGCGCAGCTACACGGAAGCCCAACTGGCGCAGCTGCGGCTGGGTATGGCCAAGTACTACCAAGCTTTTATCTGGAACCGGGAATACGGCGGGTTGGCGTATGAATGGACGTTGGCGGGATTGGAACGGCGCTTGGCGCATATGAATTCGGAATACTATCTCCACCATCACCACCATCGGCGGCGGCGGAGAGCTTTAGATTGAGCTTTAGATTTTCGAATTACGAATCTTTTCCGGATTGTAGAATAGAACTTGAGGTGCGAGTTGGTGGTCCAAGATTGGGCTTAGTTAAGATGGGGGAGGGGGGGGCCCATGACGGTGATTGTGACGGTGGCCATGGAGGTCCATGTGAGGACCCAAGCACACACGCGCTCAAGAGCGCGGGTCGTTGAGGGAGTGTAGTGGTATCCCCTTGACGACCTAGCTTACGAAGTTTCACTGTGTAAAATGACGGTTGACTAATGACGGTTCATCGAGTATGTGTAAGGCCCAAGGGGACAGAGAACAGCTGGTGCATGTGTTGGCGCCGTCACCTTAACTCGGTGGACTTGCGAGTGTGCGAGTGAAGGTGGTGTGGTGGAGGGGAAAAAGGGAGGGGAGGGGAGATGGGGAAAACGTCCATAGGGGCCCGAGTCTCTCTCAAAAACGCAGAAAGTGACAGCGCACGCTATGTGTACACACGATGGCCTCGCCGTAAGTGGATGAACGTCATCCACTCCTCGGCTTAGTATCATATGTCGCTACTTAGGACGGCTCCCTGATGGCTTTCGCAGGAAAGGCCGCACACATCGCGGCCGGGCACCATTTCTGCCCAGCACAGGAGCCCTAGCTCCCCTAGGAGCCGCTGTTCCGCCGGTTTCTCCTTCTTCCTTCCTGTGCCCTGTTTTCCGTCTGGAGGTCGGCAGCACTACGGCAGCTGTTTACGTCCAATAAAACGACGACGTTACTGCGTAAATGTGTGTACTGAGTGAATGTGTTTGTATGTATGTATGTATGTATGTATGTATGTATGTATGTATGTATGTATGTATGTATGTATGTATGTATGTATGTATGTATGTATGACGTTGATTACACTGTGGGCTGAAAAGCCGGGGGCCCAGGGCCGAAGCACAGCGCGGGGGGCGGGTGCATACGGCTGGTTAGTCTCATGCACTCCGCCCCCGGGTCAGGCCGCACGGGAAACGACGGCCGGCACGCAACAGCGCTTGTTTGGCGCTCCAACTAGACGGGATCTATGCCCGTTGGTCTCCTAACATAAACGAAGTCGCAACTGGGGGGCTCTTCCTGCCGACCGAACGAACCGAGCATCTCAGAGAGCTCGCTACCAGGACTTGGGCGACCGGGAGCCCGACGAGTCTTCCCGGGCTGGGGAGGTCACCAAGCTCAAAAATCCTCACGCAAAAAAGAGCGCAAAGAGCTCACACCACAAGACGCCAAACAGCCTCCTGAGACTACTACCCTCCTCCGCCTCTCCCTCCCTGGGCTAGTCCAGGGGAGATAGCCCCCGTCGAGGGGGTAACACCGCACAAGTCCGCGCCCTTCCACAGCACTGGGTCTAAATTGAAAAGTACTCAAACGGGAAGACCT